CTTTCAGTCTGTGGTATCACAAGCATCACATAATTTAAGGACTAAACATAGCACGCATCACATAACCAAGCGCAGCACACCGGTTTATAATTGATCACCTTGATAGATATTGCTGCAGCTGGATTTCTTGGTCATATTTTATATTTATATTTTTTATTGTTATTTTCTTTGTATGTTTGTTTTTTTAGTCTTAATTTAATCAATTTTTATTTTTGCCATATATCCTAGCGCAACTATTTTGGTTACCATCGTAACTGATTGTTTCCTGATCTAACTGTAATTGGCCAGATCAGGCAGTGAGCTTTTCAACTTTGCGGGGATTTTCTACTGCTTCCAAATACTGATATAATGTGTCTTTAGCTAACCCACTGGTGCTCTGGGAATGCTTGTTATATATAAATATTTATTTGCAAAATAAGGATTGCATATCGTAAGGAGGACTTATTTAAATGGTATTGGCAGTGGTAATCCATGCACTAGGCAGGGACACACCGGAATAGTCCAAGGAGGTTTTTTTTGTACTAATTTTCAGCAAGGCAGCAAACAAACACAATTTTTTAATGCATGGGGTCTTTTTACAGCAAGTCTATAGCATAAAACAAACAAAACATCTGCTCTTTTAAGCTACTAACTAAACTTAGTTCTTCAGTAAAAACAATGAAGCGCCACTAACTATCAGTCCTCACTGGGAAATCTTCTCAGGCATACTGCAGGATGCTGCCCCAAAGAAGCCGGGAAAGCTGGGAATCTGGAAAGTACCAAACTTAGTTCTTGACTAACAGGGTTGTCCAACACAAACAGGCAGCCTTTGCCCCTATTAGGTCTCGTTCACACCTAGGCGTATTGCATATGCGCGTCTGTCGCGCGACCATCGCGCGGTTTTTACCGCGATTCGCGACCGTCGCGCGTTTCCGAAGGCTACTTGGCTGTATCCCAATGGAAACGCGCAACAAAACGGGCCAAAGTAGTACCTGTACCTTTTCAGGCGTGGGCCGTTTTGTGGCGCGTTAGGGACGGGCGGAGATACGCCAAGGTGGGAACGAGACCATTGACTACAATGGGATTTATATTTTTGAGCGTTTTGCAGAGCGTTCGTCGAGCGTAGAACGCGCTACAAAACGTTCAGGTGTGAACGAGGGCTTAGTGTTTTGTCAGCACTTAGCCTTTTTACCAAGCAGCAGGTTTCTATAGCAGGGAGAGCGAGCCCTGAACATCAATCAGTGGACAGCTGAGATTAAAGGATAAATAAAGCCTCCGTTTTTTTGCATAGATCTACTGCTAGCAAGCAGTAGATCTATGCAAAAAGTATTAAAAAAACAACCACTTTAACAGGGGTTAATACTCACCTGTGAAGATCCTAGGGCGGCCGCAAAGCATCTTGGGGCGGGCGTATGTGCAGTTCACATTTTCGGCCAGGACGCGAGGAGAGACACAAGGTAAGTCTATGGGCACGTGCACCCGCATGCAGAAACCGTGGGACAGGAAGTGTCAGCAAGCTCAGAGGAGTCAGAGCTGGATCGCAGACCCGCCGCAGCGCTGGAGGGACAGATGAAAGCGACAAGAAAGAAGAAGATCGGATTAAGAAGCATAATTTAAGGTAAGTGCTTTCATTAACATTGGGAGGAGGGAAAACAAATTGACTTTAATGTCACTTTAATAATGAGGTCTGGCTACCAGGTAGGATGTGGAACCTAGGAATGGAGGCTTATTCCCTCCCAAAGCTCTACAAGCCTTCAGACCCCAGTCACACTGAGCTACATCCAAAAAAGCTTTTTTCAGCACGATTTTGAGCGAGCGACATTGAGCTAGATTGAGCTACAGTGCACATTTTGTCGGGCTACATAGCACGACTTTTCGCAGGGACTTTGTAGCTGCTACACTGTAACCAAACAAAAGCGGTCTTGATGAGACATTATTCCTTCCTTCTTATATTTCTGTGCAAAAGTGACACTTCTGTAGTGCGACATTGAGCTACACCATTGAAGTCTATTGGGCCAAATCGTACAATATCCGCCGAACAATAGGTCATGTTCAAGCGGCAAGCTTGAGTGACTAGCTACAGGCGACATTGAGCTGTGAGATGTGAACAGCTCCATTGAAATGCATTGGACAAGCTACATTGAGCTGATATTTGAGCAATTTTTGAGCTGAAATTGCGCGACAAATCGCAACAAATGTGAATGGGGTGACAAGCTCCAGGACCCAGAACAAAGCTGTTCAAGATTCTGAGAAAACGAAAAGTTTGTTTTCTCCACATCAGTCCTAAACCCCAAAGCCCTTCACCATGTGAGTATGTGAGAAACCTAGGTGACACATACACACATGCACAAAGCTGCCAGCCAGTGCCTCACAATATATATTAATACATTGATATAAAATGAGTTTCTAAACTAAAAACATAAAATAACATTAACCCGAATACATTGATAATGCTGATTATTATTATTGATTATTATATTATTATTATTTTGATTGCTGAAAAGGGAAACCCTTTGCAGCAATCAAACAAATCAGCATTATCAAGTCTTAAAGACTCCCCTTCGGACCTATGCATTGCAATAATGCATGGTAAAATGCACATGCACTGCCTTACAAATAAGTCATGTACTTTTTTTGCCCGCTGAAGTGAATTGGCCATCTATTACAAATGAATAGGCTGCCTTAAGGCAGTGCACATTAACTTGCGTGCAGTAACCCATGTGCAGACCACAAAGGGGCCTTAAAGTTTTACTAATGAGACAGAGAAATTCAAGAGAGAAGCTCAGTCAAAAGTTAGAGACTTGTTGATGAATTGGAGCAGTCATCCAAACTCCTAATCAATTGTAAACCATTCTAAGCTTTGGGTAGAAAAAAAGCAAATGGGCCAAACCAAGTCCTTCTCCTGTACACATTATACAGTTATCTTACTTATAATTATGAACATTACTTATTTCACAATAGGGCAACCCCACACACACACACACACACACCCACTTACTTGAATTGCGGGATTTATCTCCCTGGAGTGTTAACATTTCAATTTAGCAGCTGCGGATGACACCTTCTGCAGACCCGTGAAATCCAGTCACCATTCCATTTACAGGGATCCGTGAATGGAAGTGCCATCTGCCACATTACTTCCTCCAGCACCAGAATGGTAGATCCACCTCCGTAGAACCCTTGGGCTGGGTGAATGAGCCTGTGCATTGCACATGTTGTCACTTTAATAAACAACTGTATGTACTAATCTTTGGGATACTTTGATATTGTTACTTTGTGCAGTTCCACAGGTGTGGATGGTGCTATAGAAATAAATAATAATGAGATAATTGTCAACTGATCTGGGAAAGATCACCGCAATTGTTGGTTGTCTGAATACAGTAGCTGGCAGTGGAGATTCCTCCATCCATGCTGTTTAGCGTAGATAGGGAAGGAGACACATTTCTTAGAGAAATCTAATAGGATTATTCACAAAAGGGTGAAGAGTTTGGAGAAGGCAGGAGAAGTGAACAATCTAGGACAAAATAGCTGATCTGGAAAATTCTCCAATTCAGCTCACTTTCCAGTTCAACTATGTTGTCCTAGATTGTTCTCTTCTCCTGTCTTCCCCAAACTCTTCACCCTTTTTGAATAACCCCCTAAGTGTGTAAAGTAGTCACCGCTCCAAGCTCGCTCCCACGATGGACTACAATCTCAACACAAATTAGTAACCTAAACATGAGATTGTAGTCCATCACCGGAGTGAGCTTGGAGCGGTGGCTACTTTACAACACACACAGGGACCATGGGGAACAAAAGTAGCCACCCTCTAGAAGGATCTACAGCCGAGTGATACACAAATAAGATACATTTTTGTTTATAGTTATTGTATTAGAATGTATTTTTAAGATTTAACTCCTGAATTAAGTGTCACTTTAATATTCAGCAATATCAAGAAACAATAAGAGAAAGGACCCTGTATGAGATGTCTTGGAGATTAAAGAAAAAGTGCATGAAGGAGCTAATTTGTACAAAGCTTTGTTGGTAAGAGTTAGAAAGGGTAGGTAGAGTGGGGAAGTGTTAGGAATTGCTGTCTTTGCCCTCCTGTCCAATGCAATTACAACCGTTCCCTCCGACCCTTTTAAGGAAGTCACAGGAACAGGAAGTGAGGAAAAACCTCCTTAGTGGAGTCACAAACAGGAAAAAAGTACCTATCTACATCATAAAAAGACATGCCTTTGTCTGGAAGGCTGACATCTTCATATTGGAAATATAAGGTCGCACAGTACATTGAAAAGTCAATTTGAACTGCAGTTGAGCTCCTTCTGACCTGCATTTGACCTTCTAAGCTACATCAATCTGCTTCAAATTTCTTTTGATTTCCCTTTGACTTGGGTGGAGAGGGAGGCAGTGCTTAGGTGAATCAGTCAATGCTGGCCATAACTGTCTATATTTGAAAATCTAAAATCTGTAAAATTGTATTCCCGAAACTAACTATACCATTGGACTATATTTGAACAAATACTAATCCCATATGACTTTGCCAAACACCCTGGGCAATGTATAAGAAAGAAAGAACTTGTCCTAACAACATGAGAAGAGGAGGGGGATATGTACTGTATAAGTTTTGTGTTCTGTTATAGATATCATGCTTTTAGATTTCTCTTCAGTTGGGTGGGGAGGGAGGCAGTTCTGAGGTGAATCAGTTGACATTGTCGCCATCTCTTTACATATGAAAATCTAAAAACTGTAAAATTTTACGCCCAACGCCAACCATACCATTGGACCATATGTGAACAAATCCCAATCCTAAATGGCTTTGCCCCTCATTTTAAACAGAAAAATTGTCGTTCCAGCATAAGAACAGGAGGGGGTATGTAAATGTTTTGTGTTCTGGTATAGATATCATGCTTTTCCTGAGACCAGTGAGATATACAGGAAAACCCATTCGGACATACAGTACATAAAAGAGTTGTTCAAATACAGAAAAAGAGTTCATCATGTTCATCAGTAATTCTGAATTGTTTCATGTCTCCTCACAGAATCACCACATGTGCCTTTCCAGCCTACTCAAGTACAGCCCAAAGGCCTTACAGCGTATACGGAACTTGATCCGAGGTCGGGAGGCCTACATTGTTGGAAGAGTCCCACATGTTGATGACTTGGCTGTGGCTGACATGCTGGGTGTCCCTATCCTAGGCACCGAACCTGAGGTGGCACATCTTTATAGCACCAAATCTGGAAGCAAGCGCATCTTCGCAAGTGCTTACATCCCGATTCCTCCGGGACAATATGACATTTATACTGAAGAACAGGTCAGAGGCCTTGACCACCTTTTTCTGATACAAATAATTTTGCTATTAAGAAATGTTTTTGTTTTAATCATGCAATTCATTTTATAATCTTTTTCTTGCTATAATGCATGGCCAATGACATCTGCTTTCTATAATGTGAAAGGCTCATACATTTATGCTCATTATATTTGTTATTCTGCATAATTAGCACAATTATTACATTGATTTTTCCTTCGTCTTCAGTGGCTTAAACAGTGTTGGGAAAGGGGACTGAAGTTAAAGTGATCCAGGCTGCACCCTTGTACCTTCTTTCATACCTACTTGAGTGTGTTCATTCCAGGTTATGGAATTCTGAGGCCCCCATGCTCTAGTGCAGTATTTTTCAGCAGGCATATACACACTCCCAGTGTGGAGCACTTCATACTTTTCAGACATCCCAACCTGCAAAACCTTATTTCAGGGAGGTGCCCTTTCTGTTTGTTTTTTTTTTACAGCGGCCGTCGTCGGAATATAAAAGAAATAATAATGAAAATATATATTAGACAGCCCGAGACCTTTTGAAAAAAACGCTGAGGAGTAAAGTCCCTGATACACAGTTGACTAGTTGCTATGGGCAGCAAATGAAATAAATGTTCTCTATAACTACCAGGACATATAATTGATTCTATATTATCCACAAAGGGTTAACAGCACTCTCAACCCTGCAGCAGTGCCTGTACCTGCTCTCAATAGTAGTCTATGTCCTCCCTCTCTGTGCAGGAAGAGAGCCAAACCTCGTTCTGAGGCTACTCTAGAGATCACATGACCTTCCTTCAGGAGGCAAGCCTCACTCTGAAACTTTACCCACTGATATCTTACCGGCAGGGCCGGTGCTAGGTTTCCTGCCTACACAGGCAAGGTGCAAGGTGTGTTGTAAATAACAAGACTCTGCAGCCAAGTGTCCTATAGCATTTTTGGTTTTTACGGGGAATGTACAGTAGAATAGTAAATCAGTACATAAAGGAAATACCATACTGGCTCCATTGCAATATGATTTTCATTTCCACAAGAATAATGTGGTTGTAGGCAAATGGTGGGGCATATAGAAAAGGGTGGAGACAAACTAAAAGCATGTCATTATATAGAAGCAACTTGGACAAAATTAATTTTAAATATATGCCCATTATTAAAATAATGTATGTGGCATTGGTTATATGTGTCACACAATCAAGCCTGTATCTCTTCTCTGTCTACAGTTCCGAAGTGCTCTGGGCCAACTTATAACAGATAACCTTCTGGTGACTCGCTGGTTGTTTAAAGTGGACAATGAATTTGGCAGTAACGGGACTGCATTTTGTGATATTGGGGTCCACCTGCCATGCTACAGCTGGGCCCTGAGAGAGAGCAAGAAGTACGGCCCCGACACCTGGAAACAGAAATGGGCGCAGGTGAGTCTACATGACAGGTAATATCGCACAGGTTCAACACAGATGGGGTTAACAGACCTGCACTGCCTGTAACAGCAGCCTCAAGCTTCAGGATCCTGTGTACCGGCAATGCTTTAATGTCCTGTTATTCCCCGACCTGTTCTGTTCCTTAATGAGGACAATGTAAGAGTGTCGTCGGCAGCGGCACAGCCGGTGAACGCTGGCAGGTTATTAAAACATTACAGCATCTTGATGAAAGACTTTCCTGCAGGCTAAGAACGACAGAACAAGACTCCATTCCACTGCAATGATTAGAAATGAGTGTATGTCTCTGAGCGCTAAATTATGTTAATAGTTACAAATTGAGGTATTTGCATAACAGTTTATGATACATAATGACAAGTTCCCCTTTCTCTGTGTGTGTCACATCATTGAGACCTGTGCCTGCATTACAAGGATGAAGTAGATTGATGTTTGAAGAACGTGCTGCTGTTATCTCAACCGGGCTGTGCAGCACTCTCTAATCTCTCACTTAAAGAGGACTTTTAGCTTACACAAAATGCAGGCAGCCATACTTTGGGATGAACTGGTATTCATGAAATAGTAGTCTGTCCATTTATAAGGAATTACTGACACTGCATGGCATGAGGAACCTTCCACTTTATGCCCAAAGCCTCATTTCAAGTCTGCATGTGGGTACAGGAAGGAGTGATCCACACAGTCTTCAGCAAAGCACAGAGTACTGAAAATCTACCTGGGTGGATGTACAATAAAACACCCTTAGGTATAAACTTCACAATTCACTGAACAAAAGAAACGCTGTCAACTCTTGCAGTTTTAACAGGGCAATTTTTTAATTTTGAAGACTGAATAACAATGTCCTCTTAATTATACACTGTTAAACATATAGATTTTTTGTCATTATAGCTCCTTGTTTGTATTTATAGAGATCCATTAACGAGATTTTTTTTGTTGATTCTGATTGCTTTTGTAACACATTTACAAGGCTGGTGCTAAACACATTAAGATCAGCTCATGTAAACTTTATGTCAAGTAATTTGACCTTATAGCAGAGCGCACCAAGTTATACCTAATTTAAACAATTCATATTGCTTAGAAATAATGTATAGAACAAGAAGACTGTGACATGGCTATTATATGTGGTGTGGTAAATATTAGAATCTTATAAAAAACCTCTAATCTGGGCTAAACCAGATTTAGATTTAGAAGGTGTAACCAAATAATGATATATTTATTTTCCATAATGTTATTTTATTCTCCACCACAAATAGACTCAAGTTCTGTCCAGGTACAGCCAGCCAAGTCAATGTTCTATAAACTAAACCTATTTCAAGGAAGCTTTTACCTCTTTTTGCCAACTTTCAATTATTTAATTGTTAATAATAAATTATGTTTGCTTCAAAAGTAACTTTTTTTCTAACAGCAAATGTTAGTTCTGCATTAATAGGGGCAGTCTTTTTTATTTTTATAGAAACCTGATATATTAGCATTTTTACCAATCTTAAAAATGAGGTTTGCTAATTTGCTGTTTTTGTATTGTTCCCCTGTTTTGTTCTATTAGGATGCACTATTCTGTTATAGCCAGCGGCACATCTTACCTTAGCATTCAGCCTGTCCTCTGTACCCCATTTCAGCAGCGAGCAGGAGATGAAGGGTTAAGTCATCTCTCTCACTGTAGGGTTTTGGCTGCATTCCCCATATCTAGGGCAGTCATCAGACTCCCGCTGTTCACAGTGTTCTGCTGACAAATGATGAGTGTGAATTCCTTATGGCATCCCCTGTTTATAGTAAAATTAGATCAGACACAGACAGACCCCCTTTCTCCCTTGCTGTCTTAGAAGGTGATAGGGTGAGGTGGGCCAAAAAGATGACCTGCTGTAACCTCTCTGCTGGTCATCCTTTCAAGTGCCCATCTCATCCTCCCATTAAATGGCCTGCAATATTTCTGAAGAGGTATTAGAACAATAGAGCTGATTGATAATACTTGGATACTGGGAGAATGAGGATGTTAAACATGTTATCCAGTCAGGTGCAAAGTTTAATTTTCTAATATACATTACTCTAGAACAATTACTGGTATATGGTTGGTTCCTGTCCATCTCATTATAGAAATGAAGAGTGCCCTGATGTTCCATTTTTCCTGTCCAAAATATACAGGTTGGTTATTAGGCTGCCTCAAAAGCTGGTTATTATCTATGTATATGACTTTTGTAGGGATATTAGTAGACAAGCCTTGTATGGGAGCAAGGCGTGAAGTGGATGGTTCAATATTTTCTGTACAGAGCTACATCATATTTCCAGTACTGTGACAGTTAATTACATACATATATATACACAATAAACACACACACATAACACACACAATAAACATATATACACAGTTTTAGGTGAGGGTCATTTGAAGACATGTGGAATCTTCTGGGACATATAAGACATAAGGGACAATGATGAATCACGTGCAGTATGGTGATGATGGTAGCATCTTCTGGCCCTGGAACATGTTGGGAGCAGTCAGTTTATGATTGCATTTCTGAGCATCTGATTAACTGCAACTCCCAGCATGGTCTACGGGCTAGCTACTCCATTGAATGCTTAGATTTTCGGATCCCCAACAGTTTGAACTCTGCAAGCTGCCTCAGCATGGAAAATATATCGCAAGATCAAAAGGAATGCTTAGCCTTAGTGATCTATTGGGATGCCAAACCTGATAATAATATCATGAAAAATGATCCAGCAATAAACAAAGTGAAATAATATCACACAAAGCAATTTAATAAACAGCAATATAATATCATGTAGAGCAATGTGTTTGCCGGCTCCCCAGGTATCAATCTCACGTTCTGCTCGCTATTGATTTAATTCACTTGTATCCCTCCGTGTTAATTTTTGATATGCTTACAAAACAACCCTTTGATTTTCTGTCACTCGTTAATTACACTGTTTCACCATTAAATAGGAGGCTTTGTGTAAACTAATTACTAGGTAATCATTGTCGACCACGGAACGCGCTGCTTGTACCTTTTTATTCCATCCTACACAAGCGCTTCGCCGTCTGCGCTCAAGCCCCCTCTCCACTTGCAGTCATTAGCTCCTACTAATTCACAGCGTTACTGCCGAAGAGAGGGGGACTTGTAATTGTGGCCATATCAGTACTGTTAATTACCGAAGTAGAACATTGAAATGATGCCAAGGACCATTGTTAGAAGCAAATAAAAAAAAAATCACACACACACACCAAAAAAAAAAAGAGTTTGAATGTTATTTTTCGCCATCTGGGGAGCCGAAGAGAGGAAAACAGCACGAAAACAGCAGTGACAAAATATCATAGTTGCAGCTCCAGGCCTCATAGGCCAGATGGAGGAAAGAGATTCTACAACATCAATTGGATGAGAAGGGCCAGGTTCCAGCAGCCGAGCTGTGACAAGTGAAGGAGAGGAACACAGACAAGCAATGTGTTCTTAGAAGATGACTCTTAACTCTTTCTGCCAGAGGACTGCATGTACTCGTGGTCTATCATAGTGCTGCGTTTGGAAGTTCAGTGTTCTTGCTATATCTCTATGATGGACATTAACATGAAGAAAACTGCCTTATATTAGGCAGTTGGGCACATTGTGATTGCCGATTTCTGCAGGGACATATTTAGAAATGACATTCTCCTAGGATCACATGCACGATTATTCACTTTTATTCTGACTCCACCCCCTTTGTCCACAATCATCTTGCAGAATTAATATCATGAACTTAAAATGAGAAAGTACAATAGAACGTAGCATGATTTCTGGTTTGTGAGCAGACCTCCCACTGAATGGTTCAATTCTCTTCACATTACATGATTTTCAGACAACTCCCTACAGCACCAGCCTTCAGTTCTGATTTTCCAGTCAGAATGCTGTTGTACAGGGGATTACAAAACAAGTCCTCACTGACCTGTGTAGCTACAAGCACTATAGAGATATTCATCCTCAAATTTCACAACAGAGGCAATGTTCTTTTACTGCTTGTTAACCATATGTAAATACTTCAAGATGAACTTTACCCAGCAATTTAATGTCTCTCATAACAGTTACTTCAAGCCATCCCAACTGTCAGTGTTGCCAGTGTGCTTATGGCCCACTGAATGGTTCAATTCTCTTCACATTATGTGATCTTCAGACAACTCCCTACAGCACCAGCCTTTAGTTTTGATTTTCCAATGGCTTTAAATAGCTAAGTGTGCTGTCACATCTGAGCTAGCCTATCAGTTTAAATATTTTTTTTCTTCTGTTTTCATTAATATATTAAAGCTGTACTACAGACCAACAGCGAAATACACAATTGACATACATATGTGGGATCTGTTTTACCTTTCAAAGGATTTGTATGTATTCCCATCCAGTCCACACATTTACACAGTCCTACCACACAGCACAACTAGCCTGATGACCTGATTTTTCTTTAGTATAGTAAAGTAACACAACACAGGTCACCTCCCAGCACCTAGCTTGTGACTGAACAGTCTGATGAGGTCTTCTCTCTGCTCTCTTCACCTCTCAGTTGTCCATGCAGGATACCTGATTATCCCCTTAAGACCACCACTCCTCACAGTCTGCAATCAAGTCAGGGATTTACATTAGTTGTTTTGCCAAAATCTATTCCAGAATTGTATAATAGAATAATAAATACATACTTCATTCATTGGTGTTTATTGCATCTGCCTGGAGTTCAGCTTAAAAATAGGATGGTGAAAAGGAAAAGAAAATCTCAAAATATTAAATCTCTCATTATGACTGGTAGATGTATATTTTTCAGTTTTTGAAAATCTCCCCCACTGCGCATTTCTAGAATAGAATTGTTTCTTAATTGTTGACTGGAAGATCCCCAGCACTCACAAGGCTCAACATGTGAATTTTCCATTCCTCATCACTATGTCGCCCTGATGAAGGGACCCTGCGTGGCCTGGAAATGCTGGCTTTGATGATGCAAGTGATGCATGTTCAATAAAGAAGAATGGAAAATTGACACATTGAACTTTGTGAGTGTTGGTGATCTTCTATTCAACACTTTGAGCTGCACGTCGCCATCCGTGTTCATCAGTGCGAGCACCACGACTGTGGAAGATCATAACGCTGTATGGAGTGCAGGTGATCTACTACAACAGTATTGTTTCTTGAATGTTCTCACATCAGTCTCCCTTCCACCCCAGGAAAAGGTCTTACAGCAGATCACAGAGGAACTTCCGCAGGTTCTGGAACACTATGCACAGCCAGTCAACAGAAGACGCTACCCTACCTGGGGCAGATTTCTACAAGCTCTAGTCAGCCATGGTTAGTATATGCAGCTTTAAGATGACTCTGCAGAGGATGGGCTCAAATGTGGGGTCCTCTAGGATAAGGGGTTACTTAATGAAAAGAAATCTTTTGACTGGGGACAGTTATGGTGATGTGGATTGGCCATGGTTTGTAGGTTTACTACCAGTAGGTTTAACATTTTAAATTATTGGTAGCGAAGAGCAGGCTTTCTTAAACTTTTTCCACTCGTGACCCCTTTTCACCCGAGGAAATTTTTATGTGTCCCGAGGGGTCCCCCCCCCCCAACAGCATTGGTCGGTGTATCTCTCCCCCCAGCGTCCGTGCCTCTCTCCTTCTTCCAAATTGTAGAAATGTCACCAGCACACCAGTCCATTTAGGATAGCAAAAGCTCCATTTATTGAAATTCTTTGTTCATATGTCAAATAACTTCAATAAATGAAGCTTTTGCTATCCTAAAAGGACTGGTGTGCTGGTGATATTTCTACAATTTGCTGATATTTGCGGCGCCATCCGCAGTCACTGCAAGCACCCCCCACTACAAGGGACTTTTCGGTAAGGAGTGCAACAAGGACAGTATTCTCTCTCAGCGTCGGTGTCTCCCTAGAAACAGGACCTTACCAATTCAACTGTACATAGTAATCTATAATTAAAAAAACCTCTTCCTTGGAGTCCAGGCCAATGTGGACGCCTGGGCCTCTCACACGAGTACAGGGTGTATCCCCCTGATGGCGGCCCTCGCCCGGGGATTCCGATTTTTAGTCACGACCCCCCCATTTACTTGCGCGAGCCCATATGGGGTCGCATCCCACACTTGAAGAAGCCCTTGTGTAGAGAATGAAGATCACCTTCCTACATCTCTAGTCAAGGGAATGCTGTATATAATGCTGCTATTTTATTTGACTCGAGTTTCTTCCGTTTTAAAATATGTTTTGTAAAAAATAACTCCAGCCAATAATAATAAGTTAAAAATGACAATAACAAACCCAGATGTTTCTGCAATATTCACCTTTGATACAGATTGAAAACTCCCCTGCAGTGATTTTTTCTGTCACTACCTGTACATGTTCTCAGTCTGATGATCAGCATCATTTAACCCACTTCTTCTGAGCCCAGGTCATAATGGACAGTGAAAATGAAAGCAGCATAGTGATTAGCTCATCTCTGTCACTCTGCTCTCTCCTCCGATCAGCATTCTTTTTGTCAGCACATGAACTGTTTGGTTCCTTGTAGTGCTTCTTCCTCTCACACTCCAGCCCTGTTGGGACTACAAGAGGCTACCAGGTTAAATTCAGGTGCCTACACTGCTTACATTTAATGATTTATTAATGATTACAGAGCTGAGTCTTTTTATATCTGCTTAGAGTTCAGTTTTACTCAGTTCACCAATATCAACCAAAGTCAACATAATTGTATTGGTGTTCATGAAATTATATTCTATTTACTAGTATGTATGTTGTGTTTTCTAGGTGGAGTAATTGAAGCCTATCCTCCGGCTGAGAGTATTACCTGCCTCACTGTAGACCTGCTGATTAACCCAGGGGGAGAAATCCAGATGGTGTCCTGTGGAGATCAGATTCATGGTGGCAGTCCCCTGGAATGTATAGGCAGTTCTGTTCCTCAATGCTCGGTACCCCCCAGTGTGCTGGCATCAATCTGCAACCACATCGGAGAAGCCTGCAAAATCCGCGGTGTGCTCGGATACCTGTCTGTGGAACTCATAACATTCATAGACCCTCAAAGTCTCAAGCAGCAGGTAAGATTTCTTCATTTATTTGTTTCCAGAATAAGCAATCATTCTACTCTGTTCATATGACCTATGTATAGGCAATTTTTACTTTCTGTAACAGCTGACCTGTAAACCTTCTCTGGCCTAATGTACTATAATAATAATATGGCTGCTTCCACAATTCTTTACCCGAGTGTCTACTTAAGATTTTTCTTCAGTAATGTGCAGCAGAAGGGAGTAATGACAAGCTAGTAGCAACTAACTACCGGTAGTAGCCTTTCTCAACTAAAGAATATGGTATATCCCATCCCGGGGGGGGGGCGGTTGCTGGAGGGACCGCAGATGCCTCTGCATATTAGAAACTGTAATTGTAGCTAAAGTTATATGACACTTTGATGGTCAATAAAGAAGATTGACTACAACAGTTTCTGGAGTGCAAGTGACTTTCTACCAGTTACAGTTTCTCAATTAAAGAACACCAAAAGTTGTTTTGATACTGATACGCTGCAACATCTTTGCTACGCATATTGCTCGCATGTTGGTGTTCATTGGAATTCCGGGTGATGACCATTTCCTTACTGTTGTGGTCAGCTGACCCTTATTCTTGGCTAGGAAACTTGTAGCACAGAAATGGCTGTCATCCTCACTCCCCACTGTGGGTTGGAGAGGTCAATGCCTACCTTAGATTAGAGAAGTTTACATACCAACAAAGGGGATGACCCAACAAGTTTAAAAATATGAGGTCAGACTGGCTAAACTTACAAACAGTGGTAACGCCATCATGGTTCCATGACCAGTTGTTAGAAATTAAATTCTCTCCACAGAAGGGGGAAATTTATCAAAACTGGAGCAGACAAAATCTGGAGCAGTTGCCTATGGCAACCAATCAGCTTCTCTCTTTCATTTTCAAACCTTAACTGAACAAACTGAAGAGAGAAGATGATTGGTTGCCATGCAGAGCTGCTCCAGATTTTATCTGTTCCAGTTTTGATAAATTCCCCGTTCTTCTCCCTGTCTGTATCTGTCCTGTCAAGCCATTGTGCAAAATACAGGATACTTTTCTGACACACTATGGATTGCCAGACCACCTGCGATCAGACACATGAAACTTTAACCATGGGCTCTCCCATGCAGCTATACTTAATTACCAATGACAATGAAAATACTTTTCTGTATAGATGGAACTTGGCCTTAATAATTTCTTTTAATTAAAAAAAGTGCAACTTTGATGGGAGAAATATGTAGGCTTACGTTTCTGACCTCTGCTTCTTACCGGGTCTCTTTTGATTGAATTGATTGAACGTTTTACTTCCGCTTTAAGACAACCCGGCAACTAGCATTTTCAAAACGAGGACATTGGTGGCAGTCTGCATGTAGAACTTTGTAGTAGTTCTCCCCTGACAATAAGAGATAGATGGTTTTTGGTCAGATTTTGGTTACTGCACATTTGTGATACTATTCAATAATAAAGATGATACTATTCACATATCCTTGCATCCAGATTTTTATAAGCATTTCTGCTGAACACATATGTTTTAGAAGAAGGACAGACAAGCCAACACTCGCTAGCTAGGTATTAATACTTGTATGTACAAAGTATTTAACTACATGTGTTTAAACCAGGGGTCCTCATACTTTTCAAACATGGGGCCAGTTCACTGCCCCTCAGACATTGCTGGGGGCCGGATCATAGTTTGAAAAACATGGGGGCGTGGCTGTGGTGCCGCACCGCCACGCCCCCTCCCATCCCAGAACAAAGGGGGAACGTTAGTGAGCAATTGCTGTGCGTTCCAGCAGCTGCTGCTCTGGTGTGAATAAGCCCTTAGAGGGTATTCTTCCAGTATGATAGCCTTCAGTATACGTGCTTATACTGGCCAAGTGTATTTGCTTGTGTGTGCTTAGCCTCAGGCCTTTAATTCTGTTTACTACTACTACTACATGTGTACAGATGTTCCTCGCTTACCGACTTACCTGTTTTGCGACCACTCGCACTTACGACGGACCGCCGATCGACCTCCGACCTTGCACGTCAACGTCAGTGCGCCGCGTCGCCGGCGGAAGTGGTGTCCTCCGATCTTCACTGCGGGTCCCGGTAAGTATTTTCATTGCCCGATGCACAGTACACTGTTCGGTACTGTACATCGGCAACGCTATACAGTACTGTACTAATGCAGTACAGTACTGTATAGAGTTCCTCACTTAACGACCAATCCGTTTAACGACCTGGTCGTAGGAACGGAACTCGGTCGTTAAGTGAGGAATACCTGTATACTAAAGCTGGCCATACACCAGCAGAATTTTGTTAGAAAAAACTTGGTTTTCAGAATGTTCGGTCAGCTTTCTAATAGTTAATGAGGACAAATTGACGATCGATTTTTAACTGTAGTGACAAAAAGCATCGAAGGAGCAGGGTTATTATTTAATTTTTTTTCGAATGGACTAAATTCTAACAGTAATAGTGGATTTCATTTGGGAAACTCCATTCATTTCCAAAACAGTATGTTAAAAACCAATGAAATTCATCAAGTCTCTAGTGGCATTATGGAATAATCTGACGAGATTTTTAATATGAATGTTTGTATGAAAATCTACCAGTATATGGGCAGCTTAGTGCTCCGACTGAATACTTACACTGTACTTAGATTCATACTTGGTATCTGTACATAAACTGACCGTGTCTACTATCTACTTACACTAAAGCGGGCTATACACTGTACGAACATCAAATGTATTCAGTGGGTAGCCCTGTTACCACCCTTCTGTCCGGCATCCCTCAATTAGAAGATCAAAGGAGCTGGATGGAAAATCTTCGGGCCAATAAGCTACCATCACTGTTTAGGTATTCTGAAAGCAGCTCACCCTCACACCCGCCACTGTCTCAATACAAAGCACACAGCGGGAGATTCGTCCATCCACGTTGTTTAGTGTGGATGGAGGAATCTATTATATTTTTTCTGTTCAGCCCACAGGTTGAATGAAAATATATAACTGTGTATACCCAGCTTTAAGGACATAGGTGCAGCATGCATATTTGAGCATACTCTCACACCCCCAAGCCCTCCTACTCCACAGCAGAAATGATAGGTAGTGATGAGCTTAGGCGTGGTGTGAACCCAGTTTGCCCAAACCCGCTCAAAATTGTGTCTGCCAACCCATCCTCCCCGGCCCAATAGGTTGCAGACTGGTGCATTCCCCACCCTGCAGATTTATGTAACAGAAGGGCAGGGAATGCCCCCCCTTCTACAGCTGCCACCACTGATTGGTTCGGGAGGGGGAATGGTGGTCACAGTTTTGATCGGGCTTGGGCAAACTTAGGCAAACTGGGTTCACACCAAGCCCAAGTTCATCTCTAATGCTAGGCTATTCGGAGCCACTTGGACCCTTAAAATGATGGTAAGTAAATGTCAATGCACTGATTACACTCTGCAGGACACTATTGGTTCTCTTTCCCTCCTAGCAGTATCTCTAAGACCTCAACAACAACAAAAAAAGGAATTTATCAAAACTGGAGTAGACAAAAACTGGAGCAGCTTTGCATGGCAACCAATCAGCTTCTCCCTTTTATTTTCAAATCTTAACTAAACAAACTGAAGAGAGAAGCTGATTGGTTGCCCTGGGCAACTGCTCCAGATTTTGTCTGCTCCAGTTTTAATAAATTCCCCTCAAAGACCTTATCTTTAATAACACTGCTTAGATATAATGGTCAGTGGTGTCAGTTTCCTGACAGTGTTTCCTGGCAGCAGAAAGGATTTGAATTGTTCTGGTCATGTTTGTCCATCCCTAAATAACAGAAGCGGACAAGCCCCTGATGGACCGCACGTTACCAGCTGCCGGTTTAGCACTTCCCTTGCCCCCTGAAGCAGATCCTTATGATGACGGATTGTATCTTTAATAGCTCAGCAGATTCCTGCCAGTTGGTTATTAAAGAGTGTCTCGGCAGTGATTCATTTAGAGGGCATTTGCTTGTGAATATGATTCAGAAATTAGCAGGAGTTTAGCAAGAGGCAGGCACTGGCTGACCCCTTAATAATGTTATAATGATGCCATTTAACATCCGCCGCTTACACCAGTGACTCCTCGCAGTGTGCTGAGAGTGCTGTTCTGCTGGCAGGTTACACAGAGAGGGAAGACCCCAATCCTGACCCCACATCAGCTACTGATCAGGACAGATGTCAGTGTGTTGAATGGCACAGACACCTAGACATGCTGAGAGGCTGACCTCTGAATTGTAACTTGTGTTTCTGCTCTGTGTGACCTTGTCAATGTCATTTCAGACTGACTGTGAATCAACGTTTACCCCTGGACATCTCAGGGGTGCATTGCAGGCCTGGAATTTGTTATACTCCACATAAAAAGGTTATTTGTTTGGTATCAGCCTCTTGCTTAAAAATCAAAGCAATCAATAACTCACTTGTTCTGTTTATACCACAAGGCAAAATACAATTGGAAATTCCATCATCAATGTGTATTCCTAAATGTAAAGAGAACCCTCGTTATCTGTAGACTCGTCACTGTGACATTACCAGATATCAAACAGCGTCACCTCTGCAGGTGATGTGTGTTGTAAAGCCTACCTATGGGCTTCTACCCCCATCAGCACTTTATACCAGCTTTCAGAAATTAATCAATAAACTGTATATCAATGTATGATCAGCTACTAACCCTATACAAGGCACATTGGGCTGCTGTGATGTTATGCCGATGCGATCACAGATGTGATCCGTTGTTTTTCCTTTATTCAGATTTGGGCCACTGACTTAGACCTGTGCTACAGTGACCAGCTGGCCATGACTCAACTCATGCTGTACCTGACCAATGGGACGCTGGATTGTACCAACAGCCAACTAAATGTACCATCTGCTTATAAGAAAATGGACCGCCCCAGACATCGCGATCAAACAGTAGAGGTGAAAAGTACACGCTGCCACATTCACTGCGTGCACACACTGTCCACATTCACTGCGTGCACACACTGTCCACATTCACTGCGTGCACACACTGTCCACATTCACTGCATGCACATACTGTCCACATTCACTGCGTGCACACACTGTCCACATTCACTGCATGCACACACTGTCCACATTCACTGCTTGCACACACAGTCCACACTTACTACTTGTACACACTGTTCACATTCACTGCTTGCACACACTGTTCACATTCACTACTTGTACACACTGTTCACATTCACTACTTGTACACAATGTTCACATTCACTACTTGTACACAATGTTCACACTCACTGCTTTTCACATTCACATCTTGCACACACTGTCCCCACTCACTACTCGTACACACTCACTGCTTGTACTGTACATGCTCACTGCTTGCACACTGTCTGCATTTACTGCTTGCACAAAATGTTCATGTACTACTTGAAGACTTTCACTCTCTCTCCAGCCATGGCCCCATTATTTGTATTCATAGTCATTTATAATTTATAAACTACTTCTACTCAGACCTGGATCTGTGATAAACCACCTAAGTCTGAACCTAGAGCAGCAAAGGACAGCGGTAGGCTGCCCCATGTTTCATTATCCCACAAGATTGTTTCATCCCATAAGGATGTATCTATGCCCATGTACCATACTCCTACTTACTTCACACAAGATGTTGGGAACTGTGTGGAAGATTGGTAGCCTTAGGACTGACAAGACAGACAAGTGAGGCACGTGATCGAAACTCCACCCCGTCTCTACTACATACCATCATGTTTACTGAAACTGTCTGTATTTCCTTGTCTGCATTTACTATTATTTTTACACTTATCTGAATTTAAAGCTACTTGAGGCGTGCAGTTTTCACATCATATCTGCAGAGCACTAATAGGGAAGTGCATATACTCATAATATATAGTTGGAACGTGATCATAGTTGGGCAAACAAAACTAGATGGACATCTCAATCAATAGTCAGATCACGTGGAAGCCAGGTAGCACAATGGACATACACACACACACACACACACACACACACATTAAAAAGAGTTCACTTTGTAACTAGATCCACAATAAGGTATATATTATTATGTATATATCGGTGGCAATTTTGCTTCTTGAAGCGTCCTCTTGGCCAATTATTGTGACAGTACCCTTGATAACATGAGTTTGTGTCATCCCTGTTTCATTACATACATTAAATCTCAAGTATATCTATAGATATTCCAATTCATTAATATATCAGTGAATGATGATCTTGTCGCTGCAATCTGTCTTTCAGTATTAATACAATCATTGCATGTCAGCAACTTTAGATGTGTCTCAGCACCATGAACATGATTACAGCTATTATTTCTTGCATTTATTACTTTCTTTCACACTCATATTGCCCTCTTGTGCTCCCGCTGATCTCCCATTTAAACTCCCATCTTCCCCTTCAGTAAGACGCGCTGTAGTGTGACTAGCTATGTTGTTACCTTTCAGGGCCTTTCTAGATTAACACCCACTTTTCTCTGTTTATGCACCCATTTCAATAAAAGAATATATTTTCTCAGTGCTGCCGCTCCTGTAATTATGTATAAAGCCAATCACTCATTATCTGCGAGATAGATGAGGCTAAATAAGCGCAGCATTAATAATTTACATGACTCTTCATTATGCCAGTGTACGGACTGCAAAGACCCAGCAAGAGCAATTCTTTCAGTCTGATGCCAACCCTTAAACAATGGCGTTCCATCACCACGGCCCCATCCTGCTTCACGCTTGTTAAACAGAGACATGGATTATTCGATCAAATGCTCCTCTAGTTTCTACTCCCCCACTGCAAATCAACTGTTGTTAATTCTGCAAATATTATAAACGTGATTAGCTTGCATTCAGAGATGTATTGCATCAAAGTACTGGTGCCAAGGTTCATGCTGTTACTGCTTATATTCCATCAGAACAAGGATGCAAAATCATTTGTGGGGTAATGTGCTTCACAATTACTTACTACTCCCATCACCAAGCCAAAAGGAGCAGACAACAAGAAAATGTCAGCTTCTGGCCATCCCTTGAACAACATCATCTTGACTAGGAGCCAATTGGGATTTGCTGCATGCATGTGTGTTGAAAGACAACATGCAGACAGAGAGAACATATTTGAGGACTTGGGGTCAGATTTATAATCTGTGATATACTCCACAACCCATTTAAGAAAAATAAAACCAGGTCCTTGCAGTAGCCCTCAAAGTTCTCTATAGTTCAAATGTCAGTCTGGAGGTGAGCCAGTCATGTGATTCGAGTAGATACAAACACTGGAGTCCGTCTATGATCCTTGATTATGTTTTATTGGCTAAAAGGCAATAGATTAAGAATATCCTCAAAGCCAACAAAACACTAATGCCTTTGGGCAAAAAGCCTATTTGTCGCTTTTTAAACATGTTAGCATCCTTTTGGCTTTGAGGATACTCTGGATTTCTTGCCTTTTAATCAGTAAAGCTTAATTAAGGATTGTAGATGGACTACACCTTTTGCATCTAGTTACATTGCATAGAGGGCTAACAGAAGCCTTGCTGTTGCAACCAATAGCCCACAAGCCATAGTGGTGGAGGTGAAGGTAGAGCTAAACTTTGTGTATTTGGTGAGCCGGTAATGTGAATTTGACAGGCAACCTCAATAAGCTTTCCTCCAGGATGTTTTACCCTTTGATTTTTTTTTTTAGAGAAGGTGGTGTTGCACTTTAGGGCTATGCTGTCTTGACAAAATTATCCAAACAATAACATTCTCTTCCTCCTGATTTGTCCACTTTAAAGTGGAACCCACACATGAAAACTGTTTATTTGTTTTGAGTTAAGTGGGACATGGATCCATCCAATGATGACACCTCGACATTAGGGATGGGCTGTATGTTCGAGTCAAACATGAGTTCGACTCGAACATCGCTAGTTTGAGTGTTCGCCGAAAGCACAAACTTTGTGGGATGTTTGCATCCTGTTCGACCGCTCAACATCCCACAAGGCAATGCGCCTTCTGAAGTTCTAATTGGGTAAAGGCTTGCACCTGACCACAGGTCAGGTGCAAGACTTTGTCCAATCAGGGCTCAGTACTCTGTTAGAGCCATGATTGGGCAAAGTCCCGGCAGCACACTATATTAGGCTGCCTACACCGCAGCCCTACGTAGTGTGTTGCTGGAGTGAAAAGAGAGAGAAATCGATAGCAGAGTTTTGTAGCAGAGTTCTATAGCAGAGTTCTGTAGCAAAGTTGTATGCAGCGTTCTATATCAGAGTTCTATACATCGTACAGATCCGCCTCTTCACAGGCAGTTTATGGAGACCCCCCCCCCAGGCACGATATTTGAAGGAATTTTTCATTTTAATTCTTACACTTTAAGTGATGTAAAAATCACTGCCCCTTTAAAAACGTTTTTTTTTCTCATTGATTCCTGTCCCCTAGTGCAGTACCCGGACCCCCATGCCTTTTTTAGGGCCAATAACTTGCATATAAGCCCTCTTAAAGGGGACAATCGTTTCTGAAAGTTCTACCCTCATTGACTTGCATTGAGTTCGAGTTTTTTGGACGTTTGAATACGAACTGAACTCGGGCCTGTTCGGCCCATCACTACTCTCCATGACGGAAGTGGAAAATCTCCCTTCAGCCCTGGCACAGCTTAAAAGGGCAAGCTCATCTTTTCAGCCAAGTTTCTTGAGGTTACTTGCCAAAATTAATTCATATATAAGCGACAATGTACGCATTGTTTTACAAACCGTAAAAGCTTAAAATCTAAGGTCCCAATTGCACATGCATACAAGGCCAATTTAGGCAGCAGCCAGTTAACCTACCAGCATGTCTTTTGGAGTGTGGGAGGAAACCCGGAGCTCCCCTAGGAAACTCATGCAAGCACAGGGAGACTTCTTGCAGATAGTGTCCTGGCCAGGAATATGTTTAATAATTTTGGTCAAATGACACCATGATCATACTTTGCCTTGCTCTGCAAAAAAATTGCAGAATCTGTTGTGACTGAGTTCTCCTTTAAATGTTCTTGATGTAAAGAATAACAGGCCACTTCAGAGGGTGTTGATTCTTTTCTGTTCCATACGTTTTTCACTTAAAGCTTATGGAGAATGATGTCAACAGTTAGAAATATCCACTTTTAACGTGGCAGAGGAACAAAACTGTTTTTTTTCCCATTAATTGTCAGGTGGGGGGAGGCCGTGTAAACAATCGGGAGCGCAATAGAGCAGGTCAGCTGTAAAACCAAGCCATCGATACGCTGCTCTTTGGTTCCTCACAAAGGTTTTGGATTACAGCCTATAAAACGTATTGATCAGAGTAAGCCATAAAGAGCAGTGTGCACATTGTGTTCCTGTGGGACACTGTAGGAAAACAAGCTGCACCATTTTTATGTAGCAAATCATTCAATGTCCTTTGTGATACATGGACAGGGACCACTTATGTGCTTGTGTTTGTGCTCAGTAAACACTAGCGGTATGTCTCCTATATGATAGCTGAGACTATAACGGTCTCCCTCTTGTGCGTTATTACACTGGAATAAACACCACCTTTTCTGGAATGGTGCAGTTGTCTTTTAAAAGACAAGCAGTAAGTATTGTTAGGAAATGCCTGTAGAGTTGTGGACAAATTTGTACAAACCCCAACAGCTCATTGAAACAATTCTTTATTCCTCCTGAAAAGTGATGAAATTAAAAGCAATAGTCTCATGTTTGCCCTTGGTATGTCAGAGTAAAGCAAAGAAAGTGTGAAAAGTTATACATTATTGCTTACTCTACAAAGATATTCTGAAATGGCCTGGACAGATTTGTTGGTACCCCAAAAAAAAAAAGATTATAAATAGTTGGATCATAGTGATACTTCAAACTGTTTTCTGTAATTAGTATTACGCATTTCTTAAAGCTTGTAATCAGTCAGTAAGCCTATTTAAAGGGAGAAAAGTGACCCTTCTGTTTGGTATCATTGTGTTCATCACACTAAACAAGGACCAGAGAAAGTTGTCTGAGGAGATCAGGAGATCAAAGAAAACTATAGACTAGGGATTCACCAATACCGATACTAGTATTGGTATCGGTGCTGATAACAAGTATTTGGGCTAGTACTCGTACTCACCCAAATGCTCGAATGCCTAGACTGATACCCAAGCTTCCGGTATCAGGAAGCCAGGAAGCAAGTCATTACACGCTGCCCAGCTTCCTGATTGGTCGGGAAGCCAGCTCCATGTTCCCTCGTCACTGGGTGTTCAATTCCGTCCTAAGGAATTATGTTTTTTTGTTTTTTTTCCAGACACCCCGTGTTTGCAGCCGAGTCGCTGTTCTCAGCACACGCCTGTTTCACACAAACCTATCGCTTGTGTATTACAATGTGTTCTTTCAGATGTGCAAAGCCCATGGCATTGGATATGATGTAAAGGTAAGGCTTTGTAAGTGCATTATTCATGGATGTGCACAGTGCCATAAAACAACATATCATATGTTCTGTCTGAGCCCACAAGGCATTCGGTTTAATTTCCTTGATAAAAAAAACAAAAAAAATTATATATATACTGTATATATACAATATATTACCAAAAGTATTGGGACATCCCTCCAAATAATTGGATTCAGGTGTTCCGTGACATTTCCTTGCTACTAAATACTTTGCGGTCAACTGTTAGTGGTATTATAACAAAGTGGAAGCAACTGGGAACAACAGCAACTCAGCCACGAAGTGGTAGGCCACCTAAAATGACAGCACGGGGTCAGCGCACGCTGAAGTGCACAGTGCACAGAAGTCGCCAACTGTCTGCAGTCAATAGCTTCATGGAATGGGTTTCCATGGCCGAGCAGCTGCATCCAAGTCTTACAGCACCAAGTGCAATGCAAAGCGTCAGATACGGTGGTATAAAGCACGCCGCCACTGGACTCTAGAGAAGTGGAGACGTGTTCTCTGAAGTGACAAATCACACTTCTCTGTCTTGCAATCCGATGGATGTGTCTGGGTTTGGCAGTTGCCAGGAGAACGGTACTTGCCTGACTGCATTGTGCCAAGAATGTCAAAGTAAAATAATAAATATAATGTCGGGGCATGCTCTAGATGTAAGGAGCGTGGTGTGGGGGTAAATATGGGTCATTGCTGGAGATCACATTTAATATATAGTGGATTATTTCATTAGCATTGCCCAGGTGCTTCACCTTACACATTTAATATGCCATTTATCCACCAAGGATACCGAGTTATTATCCTGCTGAGTTTTAATAATTCTATGGGCTCAATAACGATCCTTGTGGAATTGTAAACATTGGTCCATTTGTATCTGTAAAAAATAAGTCAAGGCAACTGGACTTGCTGTATTTTTCTTGGAAGACGTTTCACTTGTCATCCAACCGGCTTTTTCAATTCAGAATGACTTCTACTAAAATTATCTGGGAATAAATATGGTGAATGTCGCTCCAATCCACATAATCCGTTAGTGGCAACCAGGTGTTGATTGCATTTGCATAATTGGAGTCTAGGAGGTGTTATTAACCTGCCCAGAGAGAGGTGTTAACACATTGTATGTGGCAGACAATAGATCGCCCCTCCCCCCCACCTCTATTCAAGCTTGGTTTCTCCATTTTTACATAAATGATGAGACATCTATTGTCTGCCACATACAATGCTGTTTTAACACTTCTCTCTCTGGGCAGGTTAATAACACCTCCTAGACTACAATTATGCAAATGCAATCAACACCTGGTTGTGACTAACAGATTATGTGGATTGGAGCAGCATTCACCATATTTATTCCCAGATCATTTTTTGTACAAGTCATTCTGAATTGAGAAAGCTGGTTGGATGACCAGTGAAACATCTTCAAGAAAAATACAGCAGGTCCAGTTGCCTTGACTTATTTTTTACAGCTATACCATGACCTTGGATGAATGAGAACCTTCACAGACATATTGGTCCATTTGGAATATGCCCTGTTGACAATCAGCGCTTATCTTCTGTTCTGTAGCCAGTTGACTACCTATGTACATATATTTTCTCCTAGTCAGTGTAGTGAGGCAAATCTTTGCACATACTCAATGTTAGCTGAGCAGTGTATGATCATCATATAAAGCAGACAGGAAATCCACTGTTCACCTTTGACATCGTCCCTTATGTAAAATGGCAGACTGTTGTTTTAGGAAGTTAATCGATATTGACTGAATCGTTTACTTTGATTGTCACGTTTTCCTTTGCTTTTGTCAGGAGAAGCAAGGTACGGTGTTTGTGCTGTTAGAAAACCTGAAAAGGCACCGAATAGAAATGCTGTGAGTATGCTACCACTGTCTGTGGAGCACTTCTGTAGTATGACCTATTGATCAGATGAGAGCCAAGGTCACCCATCCACTGTCCTGAATATGCTATGTCTGTCTGCAATGTACTACTGCTCAGTGAATACAGTTTTGAAGAGGGAGTTATCTGTTTGAGTCACAGTCTTAAAGTGGCACTAAACTCAGAAGTTAAATCTTAAAAATACATTTAAGTACCCAAACTATTAATAAAACAACTTTATTTGTGTATCTCTCAGCTGTAGATCCTCAAATCATCTCTGAATTGGTGCCGACACTGTCCTTCCTTCTAGAGGATGGCTACATTTGTTTCCCATGCTCCCTGTGTGTGTTGTAAAGTAGCCACCGCTCCAAGCTCACTCCTGTGATGGACTACAATCTCAATACAAATTAGCAAACTAAACATGAGATTGTAGTCCATCACAGGAGCGAGCTTGGAGTAGTGACTACTTTACAACACCCACAGAGACCATGGGGAACAAAAGTAGCCACCCTCCAGAAGGAAGGACAGTGTCGGCACCAATTCAGAGATGATTTGAGGATGTATACCTACAGGATACATTTTTATTAATAGTTGGGGTACTTGAACGCATTTTTAAGATGTAACTCCTGATTTTAGTGTCATTTAAATTATTAAAATTGGGGGGCTTACATAAGAAATAATGTATGTTTCTTCCCATATTTAGCTTTATCAGCTGTGTGACCGAACACACAGTACCCCAGTTTCTATGTGTGTGTGTTACAGTATTGAATACCAGCCCTGTAGTCATCTACATTACTCTTAACTATAGGACACTGGGACCCTCACTGCTGTGAGGTCAGGCAACCATGGAGCAGGGTGCAGACATAGTACAGGAGATGATTGGAGTCTATGAGCATACTACAAGGGATGGTCAGTGACTTCAGACATACTGCAGTAGATGGTTAGAGACTAGAGGCATGCTGCAAGACATGGTCAGAGACTGCAAATATGCTACAAGAGATGGCCAGAGACTGCAGATATAATACAGCAGATGGTTAGAGACTACGGGCATGCTGCAGTAGATGGTCAGAGACTGCAAACATGATACGTTTTTGAAGATTGGGGAATATGTTTTCAGAGACAGTAATAGACTGGAGACACATTATAGGAGATTGCTAGAGATTACTGTTATTACAGACTCTTTACAAACCAATGCTTTCACATTTGTACTCTCTAAAACCTTCCTAAAAATTTACTTATGGCACATCTGATACTTCTCACTGGATTAATAGTATGGGATGCCGGTAATAGTAGGGGATATCAATACAGCGTATTTGGGCGAGTACTCTACTGGAACCTCCTGTATCAGGATTGGCCAGGAAGATCGCTCCATACTCCCTCATCACCAGGGAGCATGGAGTTGTCTTCCCGGCCAATCAGGAAGCCAGGCGGCGAGTCATTACTGATTTGTCAATCAGGAAGTCGGCGGGCGTGTATTGACTTGCTGGCCAATCAGGACGCCGGGTAGCGAGTCATTACAAACCCCCCCGGCTTCCTCGTCACCTGGTGATGAGGGAGCATGGAGCTGGCTTCCCGGCTAATCAGAAAGCTGGTGGCCAGTCATTACATGCTGCCCGGCTTCCTTAATGGGACTTATACTCAATATGGGTACTCATACTCAACACCAAAAAACTGGTATCGATGCATCAATTATTAATAGTGAGTGACTCATTGTTAAACAATGGATGCAGCTCAAAAGTAGCTTTCATGATTATAGCTTGATTCAGTGGTCAGTAACATGAGTACTATGACTTGTATTCATTATAGAGCTCAGTGATCTAAATGTGAATATCGTAAAGGAGATTACATTATTAAATGTAAATAACATATAACTTATTCTGTATGGCGCACCATGTATGCAGATGGATATTCTGATGCAGGTCCACTGATGGCGTAGCAGAAATAAACAGGTTTAAGACTGAAAGGTAAATTAACGTGTGTATTACAACCCTGACCTGCTTCTATCTGAATCTCATTACAAGGAGCATCGCCGAGGACCTCCAGGGAGCTCTGATGACCTTTGCTCGCAATCTGTTCATCATCCATCAAGAAATATCAGCGCCTAAAATGCAGGGAGAAACTAATTTCAAGGTGAGCTGTTAATTAACTAACGATTTCAGCTCTGTTTCGCAAGTCACTGGTAAGGAAAGTGGACAGGAGCGCTCCATTCATTATGAAAGCATCTCTCTGTTTCTGGTAATTACTGTCCTGCAAGAGAAACTGGCAGTTAATGATCGGCACGAGGTTCCTATCACTGGGAGTCGCAGGGAGGACTGCATGGAACAATGAGATGATTTATACTGGGAGGTCACCTGCATCAGTAGGAAATAGCTAATGGTTAGCATGTTCATAGAGCATTAGGTTGTATGTACTAAACAGTCTACACTGGAAACAAGACTGTGCAAAATGATCCAACTGTAGTGTCATCATCAAGGAATAAAAGGGGGAAAAATAGCACTTTATGTTCCTTCATGTCTACACTCATTTCTCCAGTGTGTCTATGGAGGAGCCATGGCTGGACTTCACACATCTCTTGGTCTCCATTACATGGCAGATGAGACTAATAGTTAAAGGAGAACTATGAGGTGAGTGAAAATCACTCATCCTCATAGTTCGAGCCGACGTGTGACAATGACAAAAATGTTAAATCTCCTGGTAGACATTTAAGTTGCATTAGTGAAATAAATGAACTTTTGCACGATATTCTAATTTTTCGAGTTTCACCTGTATTGCTGTATACTAATCCTAAAATGTGGTGGCTGCATTCGGGGTTTTTTTCAGGTTTCTCTTCCTTTCTTTTCACCTGGTGATCCAGCCAATAACACACTTTCTGTCTTAGGGTGGCTCCACTCTATGGGGGAACAATGGAGCCACTTGGGGGGGTATTAGATGCACTAGCATATTTAGATGGATGTAACTAACATAATAAATCCGAACTCCAGATAAAACTTTTTAGGCATTTGCAGCAACAATTATTTTTCCTTTTGGGATAAAGGTTTTACATCAGTGAATAGAAGCTAATCATTGTGAACACCCCTGTTATTGTTAAATGGTTTGTCTCAAGCCTCTATCTGCCACTTGGGCTGGACAGCTTGGCTTCTTAAGGGAAGTTAAAATATAAAAGACTTACTGGCTGTATCATCAGGTGAAAATATGTAAAACAAAAGCCTAAAAAAGAAAACTAATGCAGCCACCACATCTAAGAATTGGTAAGCTGCAATATATTAAATTTTTGCTTTTGTGTTTAACCACTTGAAGTACACGCTACTTTGACTGACATTTATTCCGTCATGCAACGCTGTACTGAAATTAATTTTATACCATTTTTTGGGAACACATAGAGCTTTATTTTGGTGGTATTTAATCACCACTGGGGGTTTTATTTTTTTCTATATTTCAGAAAATATACTGAAAATTTGTGAAAAAATACGTGTTTTTTTACATTGTTAGGAAACAATTATTACCCAATTTTTTGGTAAAATATAAAAGTCGGGGTCACGTCGGGTAAATATACACCAAACATTTCAAGCTTAAAAATTGCACGCACTACAATACCCAAAATTGACCATAGGCTACGCTTTAAAAGCTTTTACCGCTCATCAGTGATTGATGGCCCTAAAATCATTGCTCTCACTGCGAAGTTCGCGGCGATATGTAACATGTGCGGCGTAATGGGCGCCATCATCGTTTTCGCAGGTATGCGCACCTGACGCATGTTTGCATGCATGTATGTATGGGTGGGGGCTTTTTTATGTGCGACTAAGTTTATTTTGGAAACTTTAGGTTTTTTTTTCCCACTTAACTTTATTGCTATCACAGAGGGGGCTAAGAAACCCATCTATGTGATAGCAAAAGATGTGGCAGGGCCTCTTTATGGAGACACCAGGGGTCTCCAAGACCCCTAATGTCACCTAGGACCCCTCAAAAGAAGCTGATGAAGCACAGATCTGCTTCATCAGCTTCTCTCCAGCGTCTGAAGCTGGAGAGTGACACAAGAATGCGGAAGTGATGTAATATACATCACTTTCGCATTCTGGCAGCGGAGAGGGGACCGGAGGAAGCTCGTGTACCGAGCTCCCTCTGATCCCCTGTGACAAGAGGCCGTATGCTGGTCCCAGGCTCGCACCGGACACAGCGGAGCCCGGGACCGGCGTGACAACGGGAGGGGCGCGTAGGGAGGGGGGGAAACGGGCCGGCAGCTCATACAAGCGATCCGCCGGCTCTATAGCCGGGTGATCGCTTGTACGTTAGCAGGCATCGGTGCCGGTTTTTAAATCGCCGGTGTTTCCGATGCGCGCAGGTGGGCGTGGCTGAGCGGACTTCTAAAGATGCCCTCTCAGGTCTACAGACCTCTCGGCCGGCCGTTTTTACAACGGCCGGCCCTGAGGTGGTTAAATATGCTTTAAAGAGGAACTCCAGGGATTTAATAAAACTAACCCTTGCAGTGGGGCTACCCCAGCACTGCAAGGGTTAAGTACTAGATTTGATCTAGGGGCCCAAATCATTCAAGAAACTCCTGGATGAGTTCCTTGGAGACCGTAATATAAAGTGGTACAGGTACAGCTAAGAGAAAAATCACATGGATTCGAACACACCTGCTCATAAATGCATACACGCAATAGGTTGGACTTGTCTTTATTCAACCTCAAATACTATGTAACTATGTCACCTGATCCTCAGTCCTGCCTGGCTGTACCAGTCCCTGCAGTCTCTTCTCCCCAGGGCTCCGGTGGCCTAAGGACCATTGACATCATAACGTCTAATGCAGGTCCTCTGACATGCATTAGACATGAGGACGCTTGGGGGCACTCCACAGCTGGAGCGGAGGGGAAGAGAGGAGAGTGCTGACTGCCGCAGGACTGAGGATCAGGTGAGTATATCTTCTTTTTTCTGACCCCTAGACCAAAATGAGCAGTTAATTGGGGGGGGGGGGGGGGGGGGGGGGAGGGTAGCCCCACTGCAAGGGTTAATTTGATAAAAACCTGGAGTTCTTCTTTAACATGGCATAGGGGAGAAGCTATAATAGGTGTTATCCCAATCTTGCTGCAGAGGTGGAAATGCATTTGAAATCCCTCCTTTCAGATACAAAACAAAGAAAGTCCCTCACCGTCTTCTGTCCAATGTAGTTCGATTGTGTTGCATTCTGGATGATGGGCCAATGACTGCTAAATATTGCTAAACATGGCAGCATGCTTTCATAAAATTAGAACCATTGACTGGTTGGATAAGTTGCACACAAACCGTAGAGTGACTTTATTTGGGGGGGAATTTGGACAGGAGTTACTGGGAAGATTTGTACAGAAGTGCAACAATTCAGTAATATGTATACAGTTTTATTTTAATAGTCAACATGAGAGTTCTTTTTGAGAAGAAGTGAGCATTGGCACTGGAATGACTGTAAATAACCTGTCCCTCCCCTTGTACGTTCTGCTGGTTATATTTTTAATGTCTGTCTTACCTCCTTCAAGTCACAGAGTCTCCTGGTTATTTTTTTTATGTGCAGGATTGTGTGCAAGAAATCGAGACGATTCTGGGTGTTACAGAAGAGAACAAGCTGGTGTTTGAACAAAAAAATGAAGACATCCCTCCATAAGATGGAGAACAATGGACTGCATGCCTTCTGTTTCCATATCTACTAAATGACAAAGCCTTCTCCATACTGGTCCTTCGATAACTGGAACGGTGAATGTCATTCCTTGTACAATGGAGTTTATCATTCTGAAGGCAAAACTGCTATATATACACACACACACACACACACGTTGTGATTGAGATGTTTAAAGTTGTAATAAACTCTCACATTTTTTTCAATAATGAATCCAGATCAAAAAAAATATACATTCCCCAGCAAAGTATTTCTTTCAAGCACTTACAGTCACCATGTTTCCAGACAGCTTCAACGCTCTAAGATCCACTTCCCTGAAGTCCCGGTCTAGTCCACAATGGACAGAGCAGTCTCCATCAACTATCCATCTATTAGCTAGGGAGGTAGAAAGGAGGAGCGGGGAGTAGGGAGCAGGGAAGTGGCTTGCTTTGCACACACACACAGCTTACTAGCACACAAAAGGGTGGCCCATAGGACCCTGTAAGGTACAGGAGCCACCCTAAAATCAGGATATCAGGGCCAGTGCTCAGGGGACCAACTGATTTTGCAGGAATCAAAAACTTTAAAACATAAAGAGCCACAACCTTTGCAAGTCATTTCATTAGCATTTAAAATTGGTTAAAAAAACATTTGACTTTAATATCACTAAGAAAACAACTTGACAAGCCGGACTTCAAGAAGAAATAGGGAATTGTATATGCATAATTATAACCACCATACTGAGCCCATCTACAATTAACATGTAATTATCCCTTCCGTAATCTAAGGCAAGCAGGGGATTATGTGTAAAAGCTCTACTAGATTATTTGCCTTGTATTGCTTACAGAAGGAATTCTCAGGATAATCCCGGCTATAAGGAGATGTATTTCTAGGCTAAATGAGGACTTGGTAATCAAGTTGTATGAAGTACAGCAATGTCAGCTTATTAGTAACTAAACCTGAAAGTGTTCAGTACAGTCCCATTCAAGTACAAGGTCATTCAGGTCCTCGAAGCACCACGCCGGACAATTTAGCTAAACATTATTGAATACTTTCAATGGTATTTAAAGATGAGCCTCAAACAAGCAGCTAAATACCATATACACTATATTGCCAAAAGTATTGGGACACCCCTCCAAATCATTGGATTCAGGTGTTCCGTGACATTTCCTTGCTACTAAATATTCCACGGTCACCTGTTAGTGGTATTATAACAAAGTGGAAGCAACTGGGAACAACAGCAACTCACCACCAAGTGGTAGGCCCCGTATAATGACAGAGCGGGGTCAGCGCATGCTGACGGGCACAGTGCGCAAAAGGCGCCAACTGTCTGCAGAGTCAATAGCTACAGACCTCAATGTGGCCTTCAGACTGGCAAAACAACAGTGCGTAGAGAGCTTCATGGAATGGGTTTCCATGGCCGAGCAGCTGCACCCAAGCCTTACATCACCAAGTGCAATGCAAAGTGTCGGATGCAGTGGTGTAAAGCACGCCACCACTGGACTCAAGAAGTGGAGACGTGTTCTCTGGAGTGACGAATCACGCTCCTCTGTCTGGCAATCCGATGGACGTGTCTGGGTTTGCTGGTTGCCAGGAGAATGGTACTTGCCTGACCACATTGTGCCAAGTGTAAAGTTTGGTGGAGGGGGGATTATGGTGTGGGGTTGTTTTAGGGGTTGGGCTTGGCCCCTTAGTTCCAGTGAAGGGAACTATTAAGGCATACCAGGACATTTTGGACAATTTCATGGTCCCAACTTTGTGGGAACAGTTTGGGGGTGGCCCCTTCCTGTTCCAACATGACTGCGCACCAGTGCACAAAGCAAGGTCCATAAAGACATGGATTATAGACTTGTGCGCCGTAAAAAAATTAGTTCCGTTTCGGAATATCCGTTATTTCGTAATTCGTATCCGAAACTCAATTCGGATTCGTACGAAATACGAATTTTCGTTAGTTTCGGCACATTTTCGTAACTTTACGAACATTCGTTATGATGAAGTTAAAAAGCAAAAATACCTTTGTTAATATTGGAGTCGATGTGGTAGTGTTTTTTTATCCGAAATACGAATTCCGTTAACGGATTTCGGATCCGAATTTCGTATAAAAAAAAAACTACCATCAACTCCAATATAAATGTACTTTGCTTTTTAACTTCAATATAACAAATGTTCGTAACGGAACGAAAATACGTCAACGGAATTTTGTATTTCCTGCCTGTGTATTGTAATGCAACCCTCAGCAGCAGCGGATCCGTATTTCGGATTAAAAAATAAATCTTGTCATGTTGTTCAACCTTTACAGGGGTAATATTTACCCCTGTTACCGTTTCAAAGAAATTCGGATCCGAAATTCGTTAACGGAATTTCGTATTTCGGATATAATTCGGAAACTGCAATTCGAAATTTCGTATGCTTCCGAATTTACGAATTTCAGGAAAATTCGTACTAATTTCGATTCGTAACGAAACAAATCGCACATGTCTAGTGGATTAGCGAGTTTGGGGTGGAGGAACTGGGATGAATTAGAGCAGAGACTGCGAGCCAGGCCTTCTCGTCCAACATCAGTACCGACCACACAAATAGTCCAACATTCCCATAGACACACTCCTAGACCTTGTGGACGCCTTCCCAGAAGAGCTGAGGCTGTTATAGCAGCAAAGGGTGGGCCAACTCAATACTGAACCCTGCGGACTAAGACTGGGATGCCATTACAGTTCATGTGCGTGTAAAGGCTGGCGTCCCAATACTTTTGGTAATATAGTGTATATATTTAAAGTGTGTAGCTGTTTTACCTGCCATCCAGTCCTAAGATTTATATAATGACCTGACTTTTCTATGCTGCAGTTAAGTGACAAGTTTGGTCAAAGCCCTGCCCCCAGCCAGTGATTGACCAGTGAAGGATCAGCAAACATACAGATTGGGGGGGGGGGAGGGGGAGAGCTGCTCACAAAGGAGAGCCAATGCCACTATCCACTATTCACAATAGGCAATGTGAATAAATACAACATACTAGATTAAAATGATGTACAACAACAATCTGAATGAACAATATTAGCATTGGAATGAAAGTGTTTTACTCCCTTGTTAGTTTGCATGGCCGGCCTCCCTCACTAAGTTTGCATGGCCGGCCTCCCTCACTAAGTTTGCATGGCTGGCCTCCCTCACTAAGTTTGTATGACCGGCCTCTGGTGATATCGTCACAATTTCAGTGCTGGTTTTTGGCGTATAAAAGAAATCCACAAAAACACAGGAAATGTACAAACTCCATTATGACTGCATTGTAAACCTTTTGGTATATTTCCAGTGTGATTCATTCACCAGTCATGTCTAATCTCAAAACATTCAAAACTTCTATTTTTTTCTTTAACAATATATGAATTTGTATGCGTGTAAATAAAATTGTACAAACCATTTTCTTTATCAAATTGTCTGGTTCCTAATGGAAACCTGTGAGACCTGAGAGAAATGTGGAAGCTGTCATTGCCGACATGCTTCTGGTCTGGCTGTCTTTAGCTTTAGTTCTGGGGCTCTAACCTGTAATGAGCCTGAAGATAAGAAGTCTGCATCGAGTCAGAGCACCTGGTCTGTATATGTGTGTCCATGAGGTCATTCAGCTGAGGATCTGTGGGCGCCCACTTCTCAGTTTAGGTTGCTCGGCGATGCATTTCGGTCACATGCCCTTCTCAAGCTCGTGTGACCCCTTTTATATTGGGATCATTTCAACTAAGGATAACCTGTAAAGAAGAGACAGAATATTTACTTGGTCTCTTGCAGCTCTCACTGATTCCTCCTGCTGATTTTATGTTATGTAGGAGGAAAGCAATGACATAAGATCAACAGGAGAAACTATAATGCAGGAAAAAAGCAGTGGCAGTGACATGAGGTCAGCAGGAGGGACTATAATGCAGGAGGAAAGCAGTGACATAAGAGCAACAAGAGAAACTATAATGCAGGAAAAAAGCAGTGGCAGTGACATGAGGTCAGCCGGAGGGACTATAATGCAGGAGGAAAGCAGTGACATGAGATCGGCAGGAAGAGCTATAATGCAGGAGGAAAGCAGTGACATGATGTCAGCAGGGGAGACTATAATTCAGGATGAAAGCAGTGAAATGTCAGCAGGAGGGACTATAATGCAGGAGGAAACCAATGACATGAGGTTGACAGGAGGAACTATAATGCAGGAGGAAAGCAGTGAAATGAGGTCAGCAGGAGAGACTATAATGCAGGAGGAAAGCAGTGACATGAGGTTGACAGGAGGAACTATAATGCAGGAGGAAAGCAGTGAAATGAGGTCAGCAGGGAAGACTATAATGCAGGAGGAAAGCAGTGACATGAGATCAGCAGGGGAAATTATAATGTAGGAAAAAGCAGTGACATGAGGTCAGCAGGGGGAAAGCAGTGACATGAGGTCAGCAGGGGAACTATAATGCAGGAAAAAGCAGTGACATGAGGTCAGCAGGGGGAAAGCAGTGACATGAGGTCAGCAGGAGGAACTATAATGCAGGAAAAAGCACTGACATAAGGCCAGCAGGGGAAAACCGGTGACATGAGGTTAGCAGGAGGAACTATACTGCATTGAAAGCAGTTACATGATGTCTGCAGGAGGAAAGCAGTGACATAAAGCCAGAGGGAGAGCCAATGACAGTCACAAGGGACCACAGAGATCAACCCCCCTGGAAGTGTTGGTTTCCCAACAGACCTTGGGGGGACCAGTTCTAGTTAGGGGCGAGAGCAGCAGGGGAGGTAAGTAGTCTAATCTCCTCTTTCCAGGTATGGCCTGAATTGAAATGGTTACACTAACATAATTGTTTAATTCGGATAACTTTATGCAGTGAGTTAATGTCCTAACAGTACTCAGAATGTTTTTATGTCACATGCAATGATTTATATTTTGTTTAGCATTTACACGCCGACTGTCCAGGAACAGTGACGGGTACTTACAGAAATCACGGTTTATTCACATGGTTTAAACTTTCTTGAAAAAAAAAAAACTGTTGCTGCAACTGCTCAACTACCCCAACAATATAGTCACTTTTGCTGGACAGGTTGGTCAGCACATACCGTATAGAAACATATTTAAGGAAAGGAATGTGAAATATTAAAAAAAGGAATTCATATACTGAATGCCAGCATGGAGAGTATACTTTGCAACATTTACAATGTTTAGGTTTCCATGCAGTGGATATGATTCTGAAGCATAATTGATTTCTGAAAGTCTTTGTCACTTCTGCCCTCACCAAGCCCATGTGACAAGGATTGCTGTACTGAACTCTTGCTGGGTGATGTTACAAGAGGTTGCAAGAGGTAAATCTCCCAGGAAGGTTAAGATTTAGTTAGGGATCAAGGGCTTATCCTTATCTATTTGCATCGGGGCTGCTGTAAATAGAAAATGTCTAACGCTGCAGTTGTCAGTTCACTGGGTCCCCCCATAATGGTTTATTTATAGCTGTATAGTCATTTGTAGGAGGAATCCATAAAATATAAAAGGCATTGTTTTTGAAAATCTAGCGAGTGTATTCATCCAAAACTGGAGCTATGGCTACTGGTAGCTGGTCTTTATTTTTTAACTGACTGAGAATGCAGCAGGAGGAGTGAAACTCATGCTACAGTAAAAAGTAAAAGACTTCACTGTAAGGCCTCATTTAGATGGGTTGCAGTCTCCACTACTCTCTAAAAAGTGCTATGCGATGGATTGCTTTTCAAAGGGTGGTAGCACAGCGGCTGCTTTCAGGGGGTGATACTGCCGCAGGACAGTACATAAGCTGCTCATATAGACAAAAATGCGTGAACTTTTTTGATTTATGTCAGCAATTTCCTTTTTTTTTTTTCATTGCCAAGAAAAGATGCAGTCTGAATGTACTCCAGGGCCACATCCTTGGAGCTCTCCTACAGTAAAGTGCATCACCCCTTGTGTGGTAGGCTGGTAATAACCAGGTGGCTCCTTAGACTTTGTGCCTTTGGGCAAATTGGACATTGGCACCACACTGCCAAGAAAACAAGCCCAGGCCTAAATGTAGAGACACAAGGCAGTGAGAGCAGGGCCAAATGTTGAGGCAAAAGGCACAGAGCATCCTCTTCCAAAATAATTAGAGCTTCTTGTTTGGGATTTAATGGGACAATTGATTTTTGGCAATGGTCTTTTCTTAATTAAATGCATTGATTTGATCAGTAAGATCTGGGTGGGGGTTTGGTAGTCTAGGTTTGATTTCATTTATTAAGCCAGCAGGGCAGGCTAGTACCTCAAATGCATATTGAGCCACCTCCAGTCAGTGGTACATCCTTGATACTCATTAGTGCATTGTATGATCACTTGTAAATGTTTTAGTTACCGCCTTACCTTTTGCTTATCCAGGGCAGGGGCGGCCTTACAAGGAAAAAAAACAATAGAGCATGTAAAAAAATGTAAATCAGTAAATACTTGAAAACAGAGATGGTGGGTGGGAATGTTAAGGTGGGACTATCTGGGCCATCAGTCAAAGGAAGAAGCTGTGTCTCCAGCTGGTATGAAAACAGTTGGAGTGCCAAGCTGGCATACAGATGTTGGGTTTGGGGAGGGGGGGTGGAATTTTTTTTCTGTTTCAGCAAAAAAAAAAAAAACTAGCATGGTAAGGTTGTTACTACAATAGGTAGGGTGGCTGTTGGCAAGTGCAGCTTCGAGTTTCAAGACTCCACTCCAGATGGACAAGCACCCTATGGCCGTCGGATTGAATGCTTCATTTTTGCTGCTACCTGCCCTCCCAGTCTTGTCCCTAAGGAAGACTATCAAAAAAGGCCAATGAGGACTGGAAGGGAATTGAAATGAGTCTCCCACCAACTGTGATGGCACCACAAAAACCAATCTCTTGCACCATCCTTCTTGCAGCATCTTTATAGCTCCCTTCTTTGTCTTGCAGCAAAGAAGAAGAAGAGAAAAAAGCAAAGCAAGAGAGACAACAAGCAAAGGAAAGAGGGAGAAAGGAGACTAGAGAAAAGAAACAGAACAACTCCCAATAGTATACTGCCATCCAAAAAAAACAAGTGACAAACACTAGGCTGAAGACACAACAGCCAAGGAAGCCGTGTTACCCATCAACAATAAAATCTTTAAATAAAATCCACGCAGTCCACATAGCATGAAACTTTTCGGCGGTATCATGGTCTATAGCTACCAATTCCTCCATTCATACAAGACCATCCAGGGCATCCAACCATTCTAACAAGGAAGGTGCAACTGGTGACCGCAAAGAACTATACGAACTGCAAAGAGAAAAAGAAATCAAAGAGTTGAGCGTTTAGCAGAGGAGACCGATCCCAGAACAATCGTTAAGAGAGCCAGTTGCAGGGTAGAGTACGCAGAATTATATAAGATGAGCACATTGTCCCAGAGAGCCCAAATCGAGAGGCAATCCCACCAGACATGCAACAAGGTGCCAACAGAACGTTGACAACGCCAGCAAAGATCCGATTGGGTCATGAAAACTTGGAGTCTGGACGAGGTTAAATACCATCTGGATACCAATGTGACATTCCGTTCTTGAAAGGAACAGGAGATGGATAAATTAAACGAAGCAGAGAAACATTTCTCCCGATCCTCCTCCGAAAAAGCCACTCCTAACTCTTTCTCCCACTGTTTCACATACGGTAGGGGAGCAGAGGAAAGCTTAGATAAACATATGGCGTACAGGATAGAGAGGGAATGTCTAAGCCAGTGGTTCTCAACCTTTCTAGGGCCGGGACCCCTTGGTAACATTTGCCAAGTTGTGGTGACCCCCAACGGTAAAATTTAGGAAATGACGCCGCTGCTGCAGCGACGTCTGGCGGGAGAACTGACACTGCTGCACTAGGTGAGGGCTGAGGAGGACTCTCACCCAGCACAGCAGAAATCACACAGCGACCCACAGGTTGAGAACCGCTGGTGTACGCCGTCAGAATAAAAAAAAACACCCTAGGAATGCATAGCTAGATTCCTATTGGCTATATCACTTTGCAATAGCCAATAGCAAACTAGTTATTGCACCCGCCCTCTGCTGCTGTCAATCGGTAGTGGGGACCTAGAGAACTTCAGGCCCCCTCTGCTGATTGGCAGCAGCAGAGAGCGGGTGCAATAGCTAGTTTGCTATTGCAAAGTGAAATAGCCAATAGGAATCTAGCTATGCATTCCTAGGGTGGTTTTTTGTATTCTTCTGACTTACGGCGGCCTACGGCCCCCAATGTCAGACAAAAAAGGTTTACTCTGCTCTGGAGAACGTGTTTCTCTCCCATGCGGCCAGGAGCCGCTATCTAATAGCAGGAGACTCCCGGGGCGACCCCTGGCCCCTGAGAACCGCTGCTCTAGGGGAAGAACAAGCAACACATAGGGACTCAAACTGAGTGGGCAACCTGTGGGCTTCAGTCCTAGAGGGTATGGAGTTATAATAACTGGTCAATTGAGCATAAGATAGCCATGGATGTCGGGCCTACATACCAGTAGACAGCAATTTAGGCAAGAGTAAAAGGGAGGTTGTGCCTAACGCATGTCTCAGTTGAGGCATGAAAATTATTTTTAAATAGATAGCAATAAAAACCTGACATGTGTTCTAATCCGTCTTCACTCCATCCAGAACTACAAAAACAGTTTTGGCTTCTGTTGCATGTTAGGTTTCCATTTGCTCTTTTATACAGTTCTCTCACCTTTGCCCTAGCAATGCCCCTTTTTCCTGTACCAGTTTATGTACTACACATCATTACATTACACATCACTGACCAAGCCAATGACAAAGGATGCAAATAATAAAAATAAAAAGCTCAGGCTGCCCCTAGAAATATAATAGATTAACAGTTGTAGCCTACGCCCTATATTGGGAAGGAGATATATTAAGATTGGAAAGATTTTGTTTTGCTGGCTGCAAGATCCTTCGTTGCATTATGATCCTTGTAAATTCCAGGTCTGAATGCAGCAAATCGTGTGTGGATGTGCACGTGCCTTCTTCCTTAGGCCCCTTTCACATGGGCCAATCAGCAGAGAATCCGCCAACAGATCTTCTGCTGATCAGAGCAGCACGGATGGGATGTCACCGCTGTGACCCCCGTGTCTGTGTACAGTTTTTTTTCCTCCATCTTGCGATGGGGGTGGAAAAATGAAAACTCAGGACCCCTGCAAGTCTATGAGGAATCTGATGTAGATGGACACGAGTACATTTAAATCACATTACTTACAATCCGGCATTAGCCAGTCTGCCGAAAAAAATATGGGACCGAGCCGGAGCTAACCGGGTGTAAATGGACGCTCGTCCATTTAAACCCAGCTGCCCATGGACTTCCATAGTGTCCGATTAGGTCTGACTAGAAAACTGACAGGCGGACCTGATCGGACCGCTCATATGAAAGAGGCCTGGGGCTCTATTCACATATAGCGTTTCCCGCGTGGAAGACTGCTGGACAAAAATGCTACAAAATGTGAATCTGCCCGCATGCAGCTATTAAATAGCCACGAACATGCAGTATCCGCCATATAGTGCGTCATGCCCACATATGCAATGGGCTGGACGTTCATTCAATCACAACCATATCTGTCAGTCAATGAATAGGTAGTGTGAGAACTTTCCTGTGATTGGTCAGAATACTGTTCAAAAGAATGAGTCAGTAGCAGAAGTGACGGTTTTGTAGAGTGTATGTTCTATATGGAAGGGCTCCATGCTGAGACCTGGGTGGGTGGAGGGGAGCTCGTCCATATCCTGACCTTGCACCTCTCATCACACTCTGTCTGAATTTAAATCCTCGCGCTCCCTTCTTCTGTGCGTGTGCACTACAAGTCGAGGTCACATGACACCGCGGTACCACGTGATCTGTATTTGTAGCGTTGGGATTTAAAGGCTCTGCCCTGTCACGTGAGTGCTTCGCAGCTCGGCCCTGTCACGTGACTGTGATGTCACACACAGCCTATCCTCTGACGGGTGGTGTGTGTGTGATCGGAGGGGGTTGCCGGGGTCAATGGAATAATTGCCCCTTGTTAAAGGTAATGCCGAGATCCTCATGGCTCTGATCTGTTTAGATTCCGGGCTGTGACAGTGTGCCGATCCCGGGGTGTGTAGGATAAACACGGAGGTCACGTGTCTGCCTCTCTGTAGGGACATGCGGAGTCCTGCAAAGTACATGACAGACACTGGAACCTCAGATCACCTTCCTAGTCTTCATCCAGTCCCTGTGATCGTGTTTTATTTATGTCATAAACGATTATTTGCTGTATGTGACATTAATGAGATAGTAACTTGTGTTTAGACAGATGTAGCAATATTGGAGTTGAAAGTCCTAGTCCACCTTGTGTCAAAATGTAACAAATTAATTTAAAAAAAAAATGCATTGATTAGATTTCGGCATTGAAGCCTGCAGAACATTGCAACTGCTATCAGTGCGTCACAGCTACAATGCACAGGCTCCTCAATTGTTTATATTCCAGCCCCGGGTCTGTATGGCGGTACTAACCTTCTGTTATGGGGTTGGAGGAAGTAAACAATGGACTAGAAGTGACGTGATTCTGACACTCCAGTGAGATCTATGAGTCCCTCTGCCGTGAAGGTAGATGGGACTTGTAGTCTTTCCATTTACAGATCCCTGTGAATGGATGCTGCTGCTGTGTGGGTGAAGCCGTGCAGAATTAAAAAATCAACAGGACATTTTAAATTTCCCCTAAATATGGGTGTAACATGAAACATGACCACAAAGGTGGACTGAGCCTTGAAAGAGTCGCTGTCATCAGTTCCAACACTTTAAGGTAGCATCAAGGTTTGCTGACACACATTGGCCCATCCCTATGATAGGCAGCCTCAGTGGCCAGTAAGCGTGTGCAGGAGGGGTGGACCAGGTTCCTACTGCCTAGAATGACCAAAGATTTGGCTTCCAGAATGGCCTGACTTACTGAGGGTGCTGTAGGTATCTGCAACAGGAAATCCTCTCAAAAGTCATTTTAAAGGACAAGTATTAGGAGAGTAAAATGTACTCTTCCCAATACTTGGAGGCGGTGTGGTATGTCTGCAGCCGTCACATCCCGGCTCTATACCGAGAGCTGAGCGATCAGTTCATGTTTTCCTCCCTGCAGAGAGTCGCAACTGTTAGGGATTCCCCCTCCCCTCTCTGTTCTTTCAGCACTCATTGGAGGGACAGACAGGGGAAGGGGCGGGCACAGCTGGCTCTGAATCTAGAGAGGCAGAGCCAGCTGTCAATCAGGCAGCAGAGTGGATCCTGGAAATACTGTAGAGATCCTTCCCGGGTGCAGTGTGGCTCTGCGCTGTCAGCAGATGTTTTGCCTTTACTTCTCTTTTAAATCTGCAGCTTTCAGTAAAATAATTTGTGGCAATCCTCCCATGAAAATCTTTGTTCAGGGAATTCCTATTATAGGGTGACAACATTCTCTCCCTGTCTCCAGTTGTCCTCCTGCGTTGTCACACAGGCTTCTGATGGATTTTACTAAGTGGCCGGTTCAGCACAAATCACACAGAAAACCTATTTTTGGTGCTCCGGCTGGCAGTGGCACGCCATCATCTCATAGAATGCAGGACCAGCAGTCCTGCATTGTATGTGAGGGCCCAACCACAATCCAGAGCATCCGTGAGAAGTAGTGTGTGCTGGAATCCTCCTGGAGCAAGGGATTAGGTAAGTGTAACAGCTTTTTCCTCTGCCCTCAGGCTTAAAGAAGAACTCTGGGAATTTTAAAAACATATTCTTGCAGTGGGGTTACCCCCTCAGTGCATTGGTCAAGTGCTCGGTTTGTTTAGGGGAGTCAAATAAAGCAGATATACTCGCCTTATGCTAGGTCCTGCTCACCTCTCTCTCCCCTTCCACTTTGGCTGGCATGTCTCTTGGCGTCCTCACGTCTAATTCAAGTCAGTGGACTGTGATGATGTCGCTGGTCCTTGGACCACCGAAGCTTGGGAGGATGCTGCAGGGACCGGTCTAGCAGCTAGCTGGGATCAAGGATCTGGTGACAAAACAAGCACTTAACCCTTGAAGTGCAGGGATAGCCCCACTGTAGGGGTACGTTTTTAAGTTCCCAGAACTCTTCTTTAATGGGCATTTAACCCTGAGTATTATTATTAAATAACACAACAGTCCATTTAGGAACACTAGCCAAGTTTTATTTCACCTTTATGTGTATATATAAAAAGTGTAGAAAAGGGAAAGTTGGGTTGTTTCACAGCGAGAAATCAGATTTTGTTCCATATTTTGTTCTTGCAAGTTAGAGAATAAACTAAAGCTGACCATCCCCCTATCGATTATCTGCAGATTTTCTGTGGTCAGATGGAAAAAGTACAACAGATTCCCACATCTACGCTACACTGTGTGGATGGAGGAATCTCCCACTGGGCCAAGCTTCAGTATCTTGCTAGTTGGCCCAGCTGGCTCTCAATACACCTGAACAATCTGTTTGCAATATCCAATAGCAATCTAGCTATCCATTCCTATGCTTTTTTTTTTTTTTTTATTCTGACGGCAGCAGCTGTCAGAATGCTAAAAAAAACCCTGCAGATAGCAAGGGAGGCAATAGCTTCTTTACTATCTGCAATCATTTCAGGGGGGTGCCCCCCCCGCAGATGGGGGTGGGAGGGGGGGTTGGGGGAGAGAGAGGGCACCTCCCTGAAATCACTTTTTTCTGGTTGGGATCCCTGGAATCTTTGCTCTTTTTCCATCTGACCATAGGAAGTCTGCGGACAATCTATAGGTGTATGGCCAGCTTCAGTCTCTGTCGCCTTTGGTGATCCCTTCATCTTTTTCTTTCTCGCAGTTTTTTTATTCCAGCCACAATGCTGCTTTAAGTGAACTCCAAGCAGAGACAGAAGCCTTGCTGCAGTTTTTAGTGTGATTTCTGGGACGCGCTGAGCTGTGCAGTCAGAGGCCGATAATTAATCAGCTCCCTGTTTATTTACTGCACTAAAAATGGCAGGTGCTGCTATGTATTAATCATAGGCAGGCATAAACAAGGCCGGCTTCACCTCTGTAATTAATAGAGCGCAATTCTTCTCTTTTGTGTGCTAATAAAGAGATGTGGAGACTGTTAGCAACTTTCATGTAGCACGGCCAGTTAATGAGCAGCAAAGGATTCTTCATATTTTATTCCACTTGGAGCTGTTTATGTATTATTGAACTGTTGGCGGCTTACAGCTCATGCTACCTTCTATGGCCAAAGTGTTTTCATGTTATATTTGGAGATTATGAATACAGTCTACTTTATTCTGCCACCAAAGAACAAATGGAGGAAAGCTTGTCACATTTTGTTTCACATTGGTGAGAATAATACTCCAACTCTTCCAACTTGCACTGATTGTTTTCCTGTCCCTTAAAATGGAACTGAAGCCAAACATTTTTATTGTTAATGTGAAGATTATAACCCCTGTAAGCTTTTTCTTGCCATCTGTGTCCCGCTGGGGAAATTTCCCTTCACTTTCTGCCTGATAGCCACAACAGGACGTGAGAGGAAATACCTGGTGGTCAGCAGGGTCACCAGGGCTAGTGTCTCCGTTCGAAGATTTCCCATCTATTCCTGATCTGGTGGCCACCCAAAATTTAGGATTTTCTTTCACTTTCAGTGATAATGGTCACCAGGACAAATACAGAGGATAAATCTAATAATAATTATTAATAAAAATCTGATAATAATAATTCTCATATGCAATTATTATCGATTAGTTGTTGCAGCCCTAATCTAAACCTATGTTTAAACAGTTGCTGTATTTTTGTTTAATCTTCATTTTCGGTGTTCTTATTCACAGGTTATTGCACAAACATAAAAAATATACACAACTGCTTTTTGTTAGCAATACCTCAGTTTTAAATTGGATCGAGAATGCAAATGAATGCAATTTCACCTATTTTTCTTTTTTTTAAAAACCAGGCTCCCTAAACTTAGTTTTATTCACTTTTTGTTGCACTTTCATTTGTAATTTTATAAGGGCATATTATTTTATAACATTCATTTGTCAGACATTCCCATAGAAGCTTGTCAAATTTTCTATCTTCGATACATACAATAAAAAAATTATTCTAGGTGGGAATACATGTCAGCAGCACACAAATGAAGTTTCACCCCACAGGGGCTGCCATGAGGAGCTTTGCCAGGGTACTGATATAAATAAAACATTGCTAAACACTTAGGGGCGAATGTATAACCGTCCCGTTTACACAGCATTCCCGCCCCGTAGACAAGGCCATTTGCCTTGTGTCCTATAAAGTCAGACCACACCCCGTCTTGCAGTGGTATGCGCGTTAAAAAAACTGCAACATTTTGCCACACACTACATTGCATGGCAACATGCTGCAGTGAATAGTCCCCCTCGGTTCTCCTGAACCGAAGGGGTCCTGGGGCCGAAGCTACGGCCAGATCCTTCGGCAGCTTTGTGAATAGACCCCTCAGTGAAATGTTACTTTGTGTAATTTCAATAAAGTTTGAATAAGTAAGTTAGATCGATATTGCAAAGCGCTGTAATAGGTGCATTGGACCGCTTCCTTCGCAGTGCACACCAGCAGCAGTGTGTGTGTTTCTGGTGTGAATAGGCCCATGTATAAAACTTGCACCTGACGTATACCGTTCATACAGCACTAGCGCCCCTAGATGGCGCTGACGGGTATAGGAAATTCTTACACTCGTCAGCGCCATCTAGGGGCACAACTGTCGTGCAAACGGTAAGTTTTATGCATGAAGCCCTATGTGTTAGATTGCAGTAATATATTTATTATGTACATAAACTTAAGCCACGTTTTCTCTCAGTACTGCTAGACGAACAGAAATCGTGTACAAAAGGAAGCAATACATTGTTTACTTTTATTATAAAGTCTCAGACATGTTTATACAGCAGTAAATGCAACATTCACTGCAGGTGAATCAATCATTTTAATTTAAAACACTTGCACCAGGAATATATACTTGGAGTGAATATTTGGTGAATGTGATATACTGTAGAAGATAGAGTTTATTTCTTCTTAGGCCCTACATCCGTATGAATCCCACTTTGCCGTGATTGGTGGGTACTTTGCCTGTTGTGTCCATTATGTATTTTTACCTCGGATTTGTGTATGATATTTATGAACCTCCTATTCTTTCTCACAGTCATGCTGTTAGCAAGGACGGCTCATGAAACCTTGTTACGGATTCTCCTCTTCCCGGCGGGATCTTTCCGACAGTCTCGGCCCGATGCTTCCGAGGTCCTAACCCAGCACCTCCTCCAGAGGAACCTGCCGCACTGGACCTCTTTCTGCGTGAAGTACAGCACCGTGAACAATGACCAGTTTGCTTTATCTAACTTCAACTGGGAAGTGAAAGGCACAAATTATCATATCCTCCGAACCGGCTGCTTCCCATTTATTAAGTATCACTGCTCCCGTGCTGCCCCCCAGGACCTGCGTCTCTTCAACCACTTCTTTACCAGTCTGAAAGCCATAAATCTAGGTAAGTGATGGAGAGATGCTGTAATTACACCCCACACACTCCATCCTGCCTCCCACCCAAGGCTTATTAAATATTTAGCTTTATAAAGGCCATCAATTGTCTTTTCAAACAGAATATGCGGAGCGTGGCTTCCTGTGGCTGCTTATCCATATGGCTGGGATTAATTACTTTGCTTTATTATTGCAGCTTATTAAAATCTCCCTTGCTGCCGTTGGTTAGAACAGCCCATTATGTTAGCGGGTTATTATGGGTTTCATATTAATCGCATTATTATCTCTCTGGCTGCCTTTCATTAGTAAAGCTGCAGAGATGCTTGTAACATAAATAAATAAAATAAAGTTATCCCTTCTTTTCATCGCTAGCACAATAATGGGGGGAGTCGGTGATGGGAGGATGTGAACGCGGAGTAGAACACGGTTGATGATGATGTTGCTCTGGCTCGGGAATGGTGTCTGATTGGTTCTTGTTTGGCTTGGCAGGGATCCCCACTCTTATGTATGGCTTGGGATCCTGGCTATTTGCAAGAGTAACAGAGACTGTCCCTACCGGCTGCGGCCCAGTGACCATCTACTTCCTGATCAAGGAGGATGAAGGAGCGATGTTCTGAAGCCGGATACAATCTTCTCATTGCATCTAGCTTCTCATTGCATGTAGCTTATTTCAATGTTTTCTCTTTCCTTCATTTTATTCTACCACCCAAACATACATTTCTTCTGTTATTTAAATGAATATGAAAGGCTTTATTTATACAGATCAGTCCACCTAAAACTGGAAGATGCTAAACAGTTAAAGGATCATTAAACCCTTGCGTGTTTTTGCAAACATCTACTGCTAGCAAGCTGCAGTTATATGCAAAAACATTTAAAAAAAGGTTAAAACTTACCTCTATCTCCGTCACGCGCTCCCGTCCGAAGATTTGAAGACTCTCGGACGGCTGCAAAAGATCTTGGGGCGGGCGCATGCACAGTAGAGAGTAGAGAGGTAAGTCAATGGAGGCAGCGTGCTCATGCACAGACCCCGTGGCACAGGAAGGGACAAGAAGAGAGAGGAGTCACCGCTGGATCGGAGACCGGCACCAGCGCTGGAGGCACATCTGAACACTACTGGAAAGAAGAAGATGATCGGATCATGAGGCATAATTTAAGGGAAGTCCTTAAAGCAGCACTGGGGGGGGGGGGGTGGTTTTTTTAAATGTCACTTTAAATAAAGTGTAAGTTTTTAATACCAGGGTAGGCAACCTCAGCATGCCAGCTGTGGTGAAACTACAAATACTATCATTCCTTTCTGGGAGTCATGCCTGTTGACTTTCAGTCTTGCAATGGCTCATGGGACTTGTAGTTCCACAACGGCTGGAATGTTGAGCTTGCCTACCACTGTTCCAATATGTCTCTGAGACCCAGATCTGCCAACCTGTTGCAGCCAGTATGAGTGGGTCCCACTTTCCCTATTGGTATTTTAATTGATTTGATGGGCAAAATCACATGGGGTGTGGAAATGCACCAAGGTGGGTGGGAACAGGGCTAGCAACTAGAAGAAAGCCTGATAAATGAAGTGGACTGGGGATTGCGGGGTTAAGGGGATTACTAACTCCTATCCTGCAAAATCAGGAATTTTGGAATACATCGATGTATGCAATCATGGACGTTTCCCTGTCATTTGCAGTATACTGGCTTTCTTATTATGCCTATGTAGTTTGAAGACATTTAAATTGAAGGGAGGAGACCATAAAGACCATATGCCTCAAGGACTGTGTTGCCTTTTAGTGCGCCTGACAATGGCAGGGCAATCCTCCTACTGAAATCCCCCAAAACATTAAAAAAAGAAGCATTAAAAAAAATGCTATCTTATAAGGCAGGAGTAAACAAACTCCATCCCTCCAGCTTGTGGTGCAACTACAAATCCCATGAGGCATTGCAAGACTCTGACAGCCACAGGCATGACTCCTAAGAGGCAGATGCAAGATGGGATTTGTAGTTACACCACAGCTGGGGGGGCGGAGTTTGCCCACTCCTGTTATAGGTGATATCTAGAAACCGTAGGTACACCTGTATTTGTCTCTGCCTGAATATGGCCTAACTATGTAGGGTGCATTAGAAGATGGCTGGTATGAAAATATATATTTTTTGTCGTGTCGCCTAGTATTCCATTTGTTTCTTCTTTTGCTTTTTTTTTTACTCCTATTTCTCCATTTGGTTTTGTACTTCTTTTACCGAATGACAATACACCATGCCGGAATACACAAATATGATTCCAAATCGGGTGTGCACACAAAGGCTCAGACTTACCAATATGTGAAATGAGGTGAAGCGTGTATGTTTGAAGTGAATTCCTCACATTACGTCATTCACTTTGACACACTCTAGTAGGAGGGACATACAGTACTTTTGTTAACTTCTATGATATATTGACATTTGTAATAAAATAAATGATTTCAATGTTGTACATCCCACCCACTCTCACGTGCCATTGTAACAATATAATCAAAGTTTTTCACTTCACCTCTCTGTGGCCATAAGTCTCACATGTTTTCTGCTCCAAAATTCTGGAGCAGATACAATAGTAAACTCCCCTAAGGGCTTGTTCACACCATAAACAGTGGGTTCCAAAACGGTGAGCTGCTGGGACGCACTGTATCACATCCTGGCCGGCTTCCTGCGTTCAGGAGCGGGAGGGGACGTGGCGGTGCACTGAAGTCAATGACACCGCAGCCACGCCCTTCGCTCGCATTAAAACGTGTGGCAACGCAATTCCTGCGTTTCGGTCCAGTGCAATCTGAAAAAATGTTGCAAGCACTATTTTTTCAGATCGCACTGGACCGGAACAAAGGCATTGTTTTGTCACGCATTCTGGTGGGGGCGATCGTACTGCGGGTAGGGGGCGTGGCTGCGGTGTCATTGACTTCAATGCACCGCCATGTCCCCTCCTGCCCCTGAAGGCAGGAAGCCGGCCGGGATGTGATACAGTGCTTTTCTAGCTGCTGACCGCTCTGGAACGCACTATTTATGGTGCGAACAAGCCCTAATGGCAGTAAAAAGGGCTTTTGGGAGCTGTAGTTCTGGGGCCGTGCCTACATCAGTAAGAACTGACCTCCGAGCAGCTTTGCCTGCAATAATTTTATAGGTCTGGTGATGAAGTCACAGGAATAATAAATGTAAAATTAAAATGAATACTGGGACATGTTCTAAAGGGAGAGTGGGAGGTTTAGTTTGGGTCATGCCTATACAAATGCTGATTGAGCTGAGGATTCCTAACTGTGACCAGGGTGTGCTTCACCATGAAAATCAACAACCCTTGTATAGGTGTAGCTCAACATAAAAGGGTTCTAGAAGGGAGCGTTGTAGTTCATTTCAAGTGCTTTTATCACCTTCATCCCAGAAGTAAATAAATTGGCCTTTTTTTAAATTTTGTTTTGGATAAAGCAGGGGTAGGCAAACTGCGGCCCTCCAGCTGTTATGGAACTACAAATCCCATGAGGCATTGCAAAATTCTCACAGGCATGACTCTTGGAGACAGATGCATGATGGGATTTGTAGATTCACCACAGTTGGAGTTTGCCCACCCCTGGGATAGCCTATGGGAGGGTTATAACCCCATCTTTTTTTTTTCTTCCTATCTGTGCCACCCAGAGCTGTTTATGTATTATTGAATGGTTGCCGGCTTACAGATCCTGCTCCATCTATGACCAAAGTGTTTTCATTGTATTTTTGAAGATTACGCATACAGTCTATTTTACATGGAGGAAAGGTCATCATATTTTGTTTCATATTGGTCTGGATAATACTCCACCTCCTCCTTCTTTCCTGTCCCTTAAAGCAGAATTGAAGCAAAAATATTTTGGAAAGAGTAAGGCCTTGTTCACACCAAGCGCGGAGCAGGTCCAGAGCAGAGCAATTACAGACCGGATCAAAACTGCGTCCAATGTATTCCAATGGTATTTTTAGTTCCCGTTCACATCGCAGCGTGCAGATCCAGAGCAGGTAAAAAAACTGCAGCAGGCCCTATTTTACCTGCTCTGGAACGCATAAAAACGCATCAAAAACTTCTGGAACGCACTGAAAGCCCATTTTAAACTAAAAAAAATGAAAAAATTTTGTTTTCTTTTTAACCAAAAACCTGAGCGGATCTGCTCTGCATTTGGTGTGAACAAGGCCTAAGGGTGGATATAACCCGTGGCCGCTACTTTCTTGCCATCTGTGTCCCATTGGGGAGATTTCCCTTCACTTCCTATCTGATAGAAACGAGGAAGTGAGAGGAAATCCCTCCAACCCAGGGAGGGGGGTTCAGCCAACCAGAACCAGTGTCCCTAGGAACAGATGGGAAATTGGAAGATTTCTGGGATTTCTTTCACATCCAGTGATAACGGTCACCAAGACCAGTATAGAGGGTAATTCTCCCGGAAGTTGGCTTCAGTTGCACTTTAAAGAAAAACTCCGGGGGAAATATTCTTAACTCTTGCAGGGGGGCTACCCCCGCACTGCAAGGGTTAACTGCTCATTATACTCACCCGATGTTCAGGTGAGTGTAACTTTTTTATTTTAGTCCCTAAACGAAAGCAAGCTCTTAACTCTTGCAATGTGAGGGTAGCCCCCCTGCAAGGGTTAATAATATTTTCCCCCGGAGCTCTTCCTTAAACTTGTACTGACAGATGTTTTTATGACTTTATTTTATGGCTATTGCAGTCTCAGGCTGATTTCACATTTCTTGTTCATGAATTTACTGTATTATTTATTTATTTGGAACTCTCACAAAGTTTTCACCCCGGTATTGGTCACGAAGTTCTGTCTTCCACAGGAGACGCTCTAATAAAATGGTTTTTAGTTACTCGAGCGGCCGCGGCCTCTTTCCTCATCCGCTCCCCAACCCTCCAGCTTTGATTTCAGATAACATGTATTGCTGACTATGCACATCTGATTTCCAATAAATACGAATAACGAGTGCTCGCGTCCGACCAGCGGCAGAGCCAACTCCTCCGAGAACACCTCTGACAAACTGCTTCATCGATCTGGATGCTGCGAGCTGCAAGGTGCATTAAACAGGCGTTTGATTTCTTGCCTAACGCTGTCACTGCGTAACAATTAGGCAGATGTAATATTTTCTTGTATTACATGGAAATCAATGCACCTTTTGCTCCGGCGGAGTTGATCATGGTGAGAGATGTGCTGTCGAAGGTCAGAGGTCAATGTGACGATATCATTTCTCAGCATGGATAAACTGCTTCTCCATCTGTCACCGTAGAACCATTCACACTTCTACTCCAAGCTGCCCGCATGCCGAAACTTGCAGAATTCATTACTCTGCTGGAAGTGACTAGCGCAAGTGCTAGAAGCGCAGGGCAAGTAGAAGAACAGTCCAGAGACGTGCTTATCTTGCTCTATTACCAATAACTCAGAGTCATGCCACCAGATAAGTAATACTAGGTGAAAGGTTTAGAGGCGGCAGAAGATGGGTTAATGGTTCCCGCCACTGACTGTAACTGAAGCCGGTGCACCTAGATCATATCCCGGCCACCTTTCAACGCTCTCTATCTCCATGTCTGGTGTCGTCACACAGCTAGGGTCAGACAGATAACATATCCTTGATATAAGTCTGTAAGTGTTGACAGACTGGACCCTCTCGGGGCAGATGGGGT